GACGCCCCATGAGTGCGAGAGAGACGGAGCGAGAAAAGTGACTCCCAGTCTACCGGCGAAACAAACCCTTTGCGAAACAAACCCGGCGGCAAAGTGGCGCTCGGCCACCGCACCGCGTCGCTCCGCGTCGCACGGGGCAGGGCAGCAGGGCCCTCCACCGGGCCGGGCCATAAGTCAGCCAGATAAATGGACAGGCCGGCCGGCCGCCAGATAGATAGGTAGATGAGGCCGCACCTGAGTTTTATTGGCGCGTAATAAAGCCTCGCGCACCGCAACCGGTCGCAGCAATGGGGCGGGCCGCAGAGTGGTGGGCAGCAGAGCGGTGGTGGGCCACAGTGTGGTGGTGGGCAGCAGAGTGGTGGTGGGCCGCAGTGTGGTGGTGGGCCACAGTGTTGTGGGTCGCAGTGTGGTGGTGGGCCACAGTGTAGTGGTGGGCCACGGTGTGGTGGTGGGTCGCAGTGTGGTGGGCTACCGGTATGGTGGGTCGCTGTGGGCGAGATTGGCGATAAGGGGGCACTTCGTGTCCCGTCGTGTCCACTTGTCCATGTGAGCGGGGCACACCACGGCACGGCGGGGTACCATCGTACCATCCCGGCAGAGGGTTCACGGCCACCAGCGGCTCGGAATGTATACTCGGCAACCCTCCACCGGCCCAGACCGACCCTGGCTGGACTGGCTGGCAGAGAAATAAAACATTCCCTCAGCCGTCGTCCAGGCGACACGGGACAAGCGGCGGCCACGCCTCGTTGTCCGGGAAGCGAACAGCAAATGGGGTTCGGCAACGCGGAAAAAGAAGGAAAGATGCGTCGACTAGCGCTCTAAAAGTTGACTGTAAAATTGTGAATATTCCCTATATTATGGTGGTGCAGCTGACTTTATAACATACCATTGAGAATTCACTGTAAGTTACCTTAATATTTTGACGAATTTCGTTTGTATTATGGAGAAAATCTTCACCAATAATATGGTGGTGCAGCCTTTCACCGTAAGACATTTAGAGTGTGCTGTTTTGCGGCGTCTCCAATCCAAGTTTATCTGAGTAGTTGTTTTTGTATTAAAGAAGCTGAATTCCTCAGGATCTCCCTGGATCACCTACCTGGGGAAACCAGGAACCGTTTTTGCTGTGGGGTACGTTCACCACAGTCAGCGCGGAAATCTCTTCTTTGATACAAAAACAGCTCCTCAGATGGATTGGCGTGAGACCCGGGAACCCGAGCCCGTGGGAGTGGTGTGCATCTCATCCAAACACAATGCAATGGCCCTCGGAGTGGGGAAGTGTGGCGACCTGCGCGCTTCTTGTCTCCGTGGGGCATTAATTTCGTGTTCCACCAGGACGGGCTGCACGGCCTGGCGAAGGGCCGCCCCTCCACGTCGCTATGCTCCGCGACACTGCGAAACTAAAGCTTCGTTCGAGCATCGACCTGCGCTCGGAGACATTACGTCCATCTCGAGGCCCTTGAAGGGCCACGGACAGTACACGCCTCACGAGAGGCGCAATGATACGCCTTTGTTTTACCATAGTGTGTCGACAGGAAACCAAATAAGCTGTTTTCTTTATTTTAGTCCCTGTTTAAAAAATTTATTTTTTGCGCGTCCGGCCGAGTTTTTGAACCACCCCACGCCCCTCTACACTTTACGGCACCAATCGGACGAGGCAAAGAACGGTGGGAAAGGAATGGGAAGGGGAGGAGGAGGGGGTGGGAGGGGGGCAAGGTCCGATAGCGTCATTGTTGCGACGTCACGTCGGATTGCCAGCAAGAGAAATAGACCGGCGGCACACGGCGTTCGGTTCACGCTCCACTCCACTCTATTCTATTCTATTCCGGACTCCAATTGTTGTCCAGGCCGTGGGCCTTGCCTTCGGCCGGGCCGGGCGGGCGTGAGGCCGCCACCCCGAGGTTCGCCTCGGCCAAGCGGTAGTTAGCGAACATGTAGGAGGTCCTTCAAGTTGGCGGCCCTGGCGTCAGGGGCCGAGTGGGTCCGGGGCCCCCGCGGCCCCCCGCGGGCCCGACGGGCCACGCCCTCAAACAGCGGGGAACTCAATGCAGTGTCCTCAGGGCCGACAGTTTGCTTGGGTAGAGTTGCCGCAGACCACACGCTCATTGCGACCAAGTTGGCCGGGCCCACCGCCGCCAAGACAGAAAATGGCCTCAAAATGAGAACTTGTTTCGTTTCAACTCGCAGGAAAGCGGAACTCGACCCGAGTTTTTCCCTCACGGCAAAAAGGATGGCCTTTGGTAAAGTCATTAGTGATCTAAACTATCAGACTTTAAGGCTTTTAACCAAGACGGAAAAATATGCGAAGAGGCCCTTCCAGCAATGCCAATAAGGCCTTTTTTGTTGTTTTGTTTTATTTTGTTTTAGTTTGTTTTATTTTTATTACGCAGCCGTCTTCTTCAAAAAGTGAAGAACCATAGTCGGAATCGATGTTTGCAGATTGGGCCGGGCACATGCAGACTTTCGACTTTTTAACATTCGGGTTATCCCTTCGCCAAAGTCCTAACTCCAGTGAGCGGTGCATCAGTGTCAGGGTGGGGAAAAGGGCAAAATGAAAAGGCGGAAAAGGGAAGCAAAGAGAGAGAGAGAGAGAGAGCGCGCTGTCTGACAAGGTCTTTGCAGGTAAAACCTCGTTGATTCATGGCCCCGCCCTGGGCGTGCATTTCCCAAATTATTTTTCATTGAAATGGGTCACACACTGGCCGTGTCTATACACTGGGGGCCCCGCTAATCCCTGTTGCCCCCTCCCCCTTCCTCTCCCGCGGGCTGCCTGCTCCCTCTTGTGCACAGCGTCAAACCTCGATACAGAGAAGCCTGCGAGAATACTAAAAAAAAGGTTCCGTTCCGAAATTGTTGCGGGGATTTTTCACGTCGATGACGGTTTTTCCTTTGTTTCGGGGGTCAGGCACCCTCGGGCTGTCGTCGTCGCCGCGCCTTGTCGCTCAACTTTCAGCATTTTGCACTCCTCCCTCCGAGGACGTCAAAACGGGGACTGAGTTATGCCCCACGTCAGGGAAGCGGCGGAGGGTGGCGGGGGCGAAAACTATATGCCTCGCTAACGTTTGGTACGGCCCCCACCGGGGCAGTTACAGCGAGTGGAGCCCCGCCCGCCCCGCCAGGTCCTGCTGGCCCCCGAGCCCCCAACCCCTTACCTGGTGACGGCTTGGGGAGCCCGGCGCTCTGCCTCGGCGATGTAGTGCGACGGGGCGTGGCTGGCTGCGTGTGGCTGGCTGCGTGGCTGCTATGTGAGGAGCACCAGGTGGTGTGTGTGTGTTTCGGCGCTTCCAGGACGTCGACGGCCTGCCCCGACTTCCTGAAACGGCCTTTGAACGAGTGCATGGGCGGCCGAGTGACGAGCCGGAATAACCAATCAACGGTACACTATGAAACCGAGAGACGACGCCTATTCTTCGTTCGGAAGTGCAGGCAAAACCGCTGCACGTGGGCCTAACGACAAAAAGTCTTTTTGTGGAGATTTATCCATGTTATGATGAAAATTCTCTATATTATGGTGAACATTCTCTTTCTGGTGAAAATTCCCGATATCATGACGGTAATTCCCATATCATGATGAAAATTCTCCATACCGCAATGAAACTTCTCGACATTATGTGCGAGGCAGGTGACTTTTGCCACCTAGCTTTAAAAATTCAGGGTACCCTAGACATTTTGTCGAATTTCTTTTGTAGTATGGAAAAAAGTCTCCACCATAATATGCATATTGGGGCAGCAGCCTTTTACCGCAAGGCATTTTTAGCGATGGTCCTCACCAATGGAGGCCCACAGTGTCATCCGTGTTCCGCAACAGGAAATTCGCTTCTTGCATTATTGGGTGGCCGTGGCCATCAGGCATCAGCCTCGTCCTGAGACAAGGGACGGACCAAGGCGTTTGTCGGGTTGACCAGGACCTGGAGCACTATTATCCCCGCACGTAAACAGTTTAGCTCTCTCTCTCTCTCTCTCTCTCTCTCTCTCTCTCTCTCTCTCTCTCTCTTCTCTCTCTCTCTCTCCCCCCCCCCCTTTCCCCTTTTCTCTCTGGCCGGACCGCTGAAGTTCGCCGAAGAAAACTTTGCGAATGAAACATTTTTCCCGGTTTGGGGCTGCTTCGCTGCTTCCCTGCTTTTGGCTTTGGCTTTCGCGGTGCAGGGAACGGCCGCGCAGTGCGCCGCCATGGCGCCGCCAAGCCTGGGCAGTTCAGTGGGGTCGCAGGTTATAGTGGACAAATGACAACATACGAGTCCCGCGGGGGCGGCGGGCCGGCGGGGGGCAGCGGCCCGTGGAAGAGCGCGGCAGCGTGGGGGAGGGGCTGGTGTCAAGAAAAACATTCTCCCAAAGAGAAAACAATTACTCTCCTGCTGAATACTTTTCAATGTGTGCGTGAGGCCCGCCGCGGCCCGTGCATCGGTCCCCGCGCTAAAAACAGTTGCACTGGAAAACGGTGGCCATCACCACTTTCGGGGAGATAAAGTGGCGACCGTTTTCGGGTGTGGTGGCGCTGGCCGTGGCCAGTGTGGTGGATGCTCATTTGGCGGTTTGTGTGTAAACAACGCCGGTATCGCCGAGACTTCGCCATCAACGGGTCAAGGGCGGGGCGGGGCCGCGGTGACCGTGGCACACAGACAGACGGACGGACGGACAGACAGACAGACAGACAGACAGACAGACAGACAGACAGACAGACAGACAGACAGACAGACAGACAGACAGACAGACAGGCACACAGACGGGCAGTGCTTGGTTCAAGTCTCGCGCTGCACTGCTCTGATAGGCGCTTTGCGATAGCACTGCCGTCTCCGCCACCGTTTTGCGCTCAAGGCGCCTCCGTGTTTCGGTCCGGCGGTCGTCGGGGTCTTCCTGATAACCCTGTCGAACGATTCCGCTCACTGCACTTCTCGCTCTGTCCCTCTCGCACTCCTCCGGCACGCTCCGTGAGCGCGAGAGGGACAGAGCGAGAATCGCTCGACCGGCCGGCCGAGGCCCGCTGGGCCCGCTGCTCGCTCGGCCGTGCGCGCTGCGCGCCACCTCAGTCCGAGTCGCAGCCGCCACCATGCTGCTCCTGCCCGCCTTGGCCGCCGCCCTCTCCGTCGTGATGCTCGCCGTCGGTTCGGTCAACGCCGCCGGCTGCGACCCGTGAGTAGAGTACCACACACACACACAGAGAGAGAGAGAGAGAGAGAGAGAGAGAGAGAGAGAGAGAGAGAGAAGAGAGAGAGAGCGAGATTGTCGAGGGATAACGACTGTTTGGTTTCGTGTCAGCCGGGTTACCGAGGTACCCGGATAACCCCTCGGATTACCTGTGAATTAAAATTGGCCAACATTGACCCGGATTACTGGTGTGCCGTCCAGGCGCTGTAAGCCGGTGCCCCGGATAAGTCTTTACCCCCTAGGATTGTCGATGCAGTGACAGCCAAATGTTTGGCACAACACGGTTCTGGTACAAATCAGGAAAGCCGAGCTGCCGATGCGACCACACTGATAAAATAAAGCCGTACTTTTCACAGGAAAATTAACTTCACATTCCGACGGTCAAAATACGAGCCAGGTATTTTTTTTTTTTTCGAATAAAGTTCTTTGTACGAAAAGCGCTCCGAAGGTGTCGGTCGAAATCAAAATCTCAAGTGGTTTCCCGAGCGCTCCGATCAGATTAGCCGTTCTGTCCACACAGATAAGCGGTTCTTCCGGGCGGCTGTCGAATTTCGTACAGTTTTGGTGGAGCAGTGATTTACAATGAGAGTTCTGAGCCGCCGTCCGCTGCAAAGCATCGACCTGAAATCTTCGTCAGCTTGCCAATATTTGGAGCCTTGGTGCCGAGGGGGTATGCACTAGCGTAATAGTCGGTTCACTCTATCTGTAATAGCACGCGTAATAAGACGCGTAATAGTCGCGTAATAGCCAAAATTGTCACATTTTTATCAATTTTGGAGTGTTTTAGGCCGTTTTTTAGTTAAATTCCGATTAATTTGTGGCGTAATAGAGCGTAATAGCGTAATAGTCGGTACACAGGTTCAGAGAGTGCATACCCCCTCGCTTGGTGCAATGCAAAATTTTGGCGATACGGAGAGTGCTTTAGAGACAGTTTTGCCGATTTTTGGCGGTGAAAACGGCGTGTCAATTTTGTGGCAAGCAAACTTGCCTCTGCAGCACGTCGCAGTGTCGCGGACTTGTCCAGGCGGCTGCATAGTCCTGACGGGTCCTGACAGGCGAGGCAGCGCGCTGCAGCGTCCCGAGCGTCGCCGCGATCCCGTTCCGACCGCCTGTCTCGCCACCAGGCCGGATCCAGAGACAGGTTCAGAGAAAAGGGGGGATATTGCAAAAGTTGCTTGACAGAGACCAAGTCCGACTTTTGACCTGCCTTTCAGGCGATAATTTCGCCGCACGGTGGGCCAGAAGACCGGTGGAGGTGGCCAAAATTCTAGACGCACTTTGAGCTCCAGAGTCAGTTGATTGGCCTCGAACCGAATGTGTGACCCCACCAATTGATTCCTCGTTCAGAGAGCAATCCATTGGTGGGGTCACACGTTCCGTTCGAGTCCAATTTAGCGACTCTCTAGCTCAAAACGCGTCTGGAATTTCGGCCGCTGTAGGAGGCGAACTGTACCCGTCGGCGCAGAGTACCCCCGGGTACACAACGCCTAGGGCCATAGTACCCTGGGGTACATGACGACTAGGTTCAATGTACCCAGGGGTACAATTCGCCTAGGTGCCAGGTGAATTGTACCCCGGGCACAATGCGGCTAGGCGAAATGTACCCCGGGGTACATTTTGCCTAGGCTTATTGTATCCCCCGCCGGCCGGAGGAAGATGCACGTCGCCTAGGCGCAATGCATCCCCCCCGGATACAAAGAGCCTAGGCGAGGAGTATCCCCTCGGCCGGCCGGAGGGGGATACAATAAGCCTAGGCGCAATGCATCCCCCCCGGATACAAAAATCGAAAAAAAAAGAAGAAAAAAAGGGGGCCCTTCTCCCACCTCCGCACACAGGTCGGAGGGCCGCCTGCAACTTCGGTGGATCGGGGGAACCGGTGCTTTACAGGCGGCGACCCCAGGGGTTCTCGTCTGTATATGGGCCGGGCTTGAAGGGCGGGTTTGACAGTCTCTCTCTGCCTTGAGAGCCTTTGCTTTTCGCGGGGTGGTCTGTACCAAATGTACACCCGCTGTCCGGCGCTCTCTACCAAACATACAGCTTGTTTAAGGGCCAGCTTCAAAGGACTTATCATCTCCTCCCGACGAATCAAGGAGGACCCACCCGCGACCAATTACGGGTGGCTGGATTGACGGATCAAATACTCCGTCGCTCCAGTGCCGAGGCCAACCCGCCGAAGCGCAGTTGCTTTTTAGACACCCCAGCGGAGTGGCCAGGTGAATGTGACTCTGACCACTACGCTATCAAGCTTGTACGTCTGGCGTCGTGTTGGACGACGGGTTTGAGTTGCAGTGGAAGGAAGCCAGTCGAAAAATGTAATGAAATGATGGGAGTCGATCCCAGGACCTTACTGCCGGGACCGCACGACTTTTGCCGCTCGCCCACCACGGCCCATGACGAGTAGAGCGGCGTGAGGCGGGCTCTTGACGCGACAGAAATGGACCGACCCGGTCAAAATTTCACAAGAAGTTTGGGGAGTCGAACCGCCGACCTCAGCACGGAGAAGCGACGCCTCTACTCCCTAGACCACCACGGCACATGCAGTTTGTTGGCTGAAGTCACGGTTTTCAGCCACACTGGGCGAGGCAGTAAAATTAAATTTTAATGTTTGTTAGGAATCGAACCCCGACGTGTGGGACTGTTCTACACGGCTCCGCTCTGATGGCCTCAAACCGTTCCACAAAAGAAAGGAAATCGAAAAAAAAAATTGAGATGCCGGTATTCGAACACCGCACTGTGCAAATGTTACAGACGTTCGATCGCATTTGCACAGTGCGGTGTTCGAATACCGGCATCTCAAATTTTTTTTTCGATTTCCTTTCTCTTGTGGAACGGTTTGAGGCCATCAGAGCGGAGCCGTGTAGAACAGTCCCACACGTCGGGGTTCGATTCCTAACAAACATTAAAATTTAATTTTACTGCCTCGCCCAGTGTGGCTGAAAACCGTGACTTCAGCCAACAAACTGCATGTGCCGTGGTGGTCTAGGGAGTAGAGGCGTCGCTCCTCCGTGCTGAGGTCGGCGGTTCGACTCCCCAAACTTCTTGTGAAATTTTGACCGGGTCGGTCCATTTCTGTCGCGTCAAGAGCCCGCCTCACGCCGCTCTACTCGTCATGGGCCGTGGTGGGCGAGCGGCAAAAGTCGTGCGGTCCCGGCAGTAAGGTCCTGGGATCGACTCCCATCATTTCATTACATTTTTCGACTGGCTTCCTTCCACTGCAACTCAAACCCGTCGTCCAACACGACGCCAGACGTACAAGCTTGATAGCGTAGTGGTCAGAGTCACATTCACCTGGCCACTCCGCTGGGGTGTCTAAAAAGCAACTGCGCTTCGGCGGGTTGGCCTCGGCACTGGAGCGACGGAGTATTTGATCCGTCAATCCAGCCACCCGTAATTGGTCGCGGGTGGGTCCTCCTTGATTCGACGGGAGGAGATGATAAGTCCTTTGAAGCTGGCCCTTAAACAAGCTGTATGTTTGGTAGAGAGCGCCGGACAGCGGGTGTACATTTGGTACAGACCACCCCGCGAAAAGCAAAGGCTCTCAAGGCAGAGAGAGACTGTCAAACCCGCCCTTCAAGCCCGGCCCATATACAGACGAGAACCCCTGGGGTCGCCGCCTGTAAAGCACCGGTTCCCCCGATCCACCGAAGTTGCAGGCGGCCCTCCGACCTGTGTGCGGAGGTGGGAGAAGGGCCCCCCTTTTTTTCTTCTTTTTTTTTCGATTTTTGTATCCGGGGGGGATGCATTGCGCCTAGGCTTATTGTATCCCCCTCCGGCCGGCCGAGGGGATACTCCTCGCCTAGGCTCTTTGTATCCGGGGGGGATGCATTGCGCCTAGGCGACGTGCATCTTCCTCCGGCCGGCGGGGGATACAATAAGCCTAGGCAAAATGTACCCCGGGGTACATTTCGCCTAGCCGCATTGTACCCGGGGTACGATTCGCCTGGCACCTAGGCGAATTGTACCCCTGGGTACATTGAACCTAGTCGTCATGTACCCCAGGGTACTTTGGCCCTAGGCGTTGTGTACCCGGGGGTACTCTGGGTCGGGGGGGTACACTTACACGCCGACACCGCCTCCACCGGTCTTCTGGCCCACTGTGCGGCCCCGGCCGGGTCCGCGCCCGCTCACCGCGTCTCTGCTTGCAGCGAGGTGGGCTTCTCCTGCGGCGAGGGCCGCTGCATCGACAAGAAGTACGTGTGCGACGGCAACATCAACTGCAACAGTGGCGCGGACGAGAGGAACTGCACCGCGTGCGCCGCCACGGCCGTGTTCTGCGGCGGCCGCTGCGCCCACAAGTGAGTCCCAGACGGTCCACAGTGGGCCAGAAGACCGGTGGAGGCAGCCGAAATTCCAGACGCGTTTTGAGCTAGAGAGTCGCTAAATTGGACTCGAACGGAACGTGTGACCCCACCAATGGATTGCTCTCTGAACGAGGAATCCATTGGTGGGGTCACACATTCGGTTCGAGGCCAATCAAGTGACTCTGGAGCTCAAAGCGCGTCTAGAATTTTGGCCGCCTCCACCGGTCTTCTGGCCCACCGTGCGGTCTCAGGTCCGGCCGCCGACCGGGTGGCCGCACATTTTACCCACTTACAGAGGCCGTTTCGAACCTTTCGGGTGGCTAGATGGGGCTGAGGGAGCAATCATTCGGGAAATTTGGAGAGAGATTCAGAACGTAAAAGAATTTTGCTTCGTGTGCTGGCGCCGAGTCCGCCGCGTTGAGATGGAACCGACTCCAGGCTTTGAGAGGGTCGTGCGGCGTGCGGCTCCGCGCGGCTCCCCCGGCGTCACCAAGCTCCCCCTGTTGCAGGTGCGACGGCATCGCGCGCTGCGAGGATGGCGCCGACGAGGTGGGCTGCCCCACGCGGCCCGTGTTCGCCTGCGACTCGCGCACCGTGCTCGCCTCCAAGCAGTGCGACGGCATCATGAACTGCGACAACGGCGAGGACGAGGAGGGCTGCAGCTTCCCGGAGGACTGCCGCGGCGGCGCCGTGTACTGCGACAACCGCTGCTGGCCCGCCTCCATCCGCTGCGACCGCGTCGTCTGGTGCTCGGACGGCGCCGACGAGAAGGGCTGCCCCTGGTGGCCGAGCGCGTAGCGGCACCGCCCGCCGGACCGTGGAGCGACGGTTCGAATCCCGCTGGACCCTGAGATAAATTTGTTTTGTCTGGACAATGGTGGAGAGTGTGAGTAAGTGAGTGAGGGAGCGGCTGTTTGGCGCTGTTCCGTGTCGCCGTGGCGCTCCTCGTCAAGTGCAGTGCTGCAGACGCCCCCCTGGAGTGCGGCTCGCCGCGCCATCGGCCATCCCACGGGGCGCGCAGCACACCGCACAGCACGCCGCACAGCGCTGCACCGCCGCGTCTTTCGACAACGCTCTACAGCTGTAAAACGACACCGTAAATTGTGCGCGCCTGCCGGCAGAGGGGCAGTCAGTGTGGGCGGGGCGGGGCGGGGTGGGGCGGAACGGGGCAGTAATGAAAACGGATGCCCGGCGTCCGTAATGGAGACAATCCCCCTTGCGGCCGTATCCCCGCCGGTTGCCGTTGCCTCCGTTCCGTTGCCGGCCGGACCCCGGCCAGGCTAGGCCCGCTCCATCCTCCAGTGCTCCAGCGGGCCGGACGCTAGAGCCTCCTGCCCCGAGCCTGTCCCGGAGCCCGTCCTGGAGCCTGCTCTGGAGCCTGCCCTGGAGCCTGCCCTGGAGCCTGCCCTGGAGCCTGCCCTGGAGCCTGCCCTGGCCGTGGAGACTGCAAACTCTGCACTCCCACGAGCGAAGACTGTAAATTCAGCACCTCCGCATTTTAAGAGTGGAGTGGTTTCACAGTGTGGAGCCCGTCCCGGAGTGACCACTGTACGTCCTGCGACTTTTCCCCGTGTTTACTCGAGACGCGTCGCCGGAGACGAATACACCTGCTGGCGTGCCCACTGCCCAACCTGTCGAGATCTTTTTGCCTCATTGCCTCGTTCTCTCTTCAGTCGATCACACGGAAGCAACACGGGCATTTGTGTTGCTGATTGACACTCCTACCCCCAGGGCCCTCTACACTACCACCACCACCACCTACCAGTTCTACCAGCGTAGCGGCGCGGCGAACAGCCGTGGTCTAGCCCTTAATGGTAATGGTAATGGCCGGTAGGCAGCGGGAACGCACGCAAGCACTGGGGTTGCCTATCGCCTCGCCGTCGGGCGCTCCCTCTTCGGCTAGCGACAGCGAGCAAAGGCAAAGGCCCATTTCTGAGAAATTCATACAGCGTTTTCGTGGGTGTGCGCGTGCATGTTTGTCGTGCTGCCGGCCTGCAAAGAAGACAAAGGGGACAAAGCGGACGCCGCGCAGTGAGCCAGAAGACCGGTGGAGGCGGCTAAAACTCCAGACGCGTTTTTGGGGTGCAGAGTCACTAAATGGGTCTCGAACCGAAACGTGTGACCCCACCAATGAACTCCTCGTTCGGAGAGCAATCTATAGTGGGGTCACACGCTCAGTTCGAGTCCTGTTTAGCGACTCTGGAGCTCAAAACGCGTCTAGAGTAGAGTTTTTGCCGCTGGCGCCGGTCTTCTAGCTCACTGAGCGCCGCCCGGGGCCTTCTCAGAACCGCACCGATGGAACCAGGATCCCAAGAAACGCATACTCGTTACGTCGAGCCAAATTCACGGGCCCTTTGGACAAGCCCACGAGACCCGGCGCCGCTTTTCGACTAAAAGAGAACATCGACTGATAGTATAGAAACGCAGCGTGCAGCGAGTGCTGCCTTTCATACTTCACACATTGCGTGAGATTAGGTAGTTCTTCCAGATCAAAGGGCGGGCGCATGTTTTTTCGACGTGTCCACAATTGTGTGAACTGAGACCTACGCGCTGCTCGGTCTCCAGATTTCCAGGAATATCATCAGTACATTACTAGGAACGTCTACTGGGATTCTCAAAAATATCGGTTCATTCCCTGATGGATTTGCCGTGCACGCTGCCCGTCCCCTCGTCAAGACAGATGTCATTCATGCTAGCTTCTGTACCGGTCGCACAGTACACCACATGGTGTGAACTCCTTTCCAAGGGGAGCGCGCAGTAACCACACCGTATTATTTTTCGTCCAACGTGTTTCCTTTTTCTTCTCTCGCGCTGGCCATCACCGCCAGCACCGACCGCCTCTCCTCTCCGCCGCGGGCGTCGCCGGCGCGGCCGGTCTACTAAGCTCGCAGCGTGGCCGGCCAGTGTCCGGCCAGTGGCGTGGCCGCCCCAGTGGCGTGGCATGGCCGTGCCGTGGCCAGTGGCAGCTCGGCCTGCCCCGCACACGCTCAGACGGATGATTTAATTAACACCAGCAGAGCCTTCTTCCCCGGGGCTGCGTGTGGAGCCGGAGGGGGGGGAGGCAGCGGTCCTGTCTAGAAAGATACCTGCGAGGCGGCAACACCCCGCCCCGCCGCTAGGTGACCAACCAGACCCTGCCAGGCCTAGGACCCGAGGACGCCGCCCCCGAGCTACTTTAGCCTCCTCGCCGGGGCCGGGCCACAAACAACGACCGAAAGAAAGGCCTCCCGAAAAAAAAAAAAGAAATCAGGGAGTCGGAAAGTCCGCTCTGGAATCCGTACAGTAGCTCGCGAGGAAGAAGGCCGTGATAAAAAACGACTCCGAAGCTCCGTGGCGGTATTCGCTTGCGCCATTAACCCCCGGGCCCTTTCCGCCCCCATCTTTCCCCCTCCAGTCTCTGGCCCACCTCCCAACGCCCGAAAGCACAATCTGCTTCAATACTGGCTTAATGAACGATTGCTGGCGCCCATGCAGACAAACGCAATTAAATGGGAATTCCCCCCCCTCTCTCTCTCTCTCTCTCTCTCTCTCTCTCTCTCTCTCTCTCTCCCTAGTACCTCGCAAGGTGCTCCAAGGTGGCCCATTACGAGCGGGTCTTGAGGGACGCTCCCCGCAGCTCTTCGCCGCCCCACACTCCAAATGCTACACGGTGGCACCGGCCGCATCGGCGTCTAATGGTAACAATTGTCTCATTTTCGGTGCGACGGGATTTCCAAGGTAAGTTGCACAGTCAGCGGGTGCGCACCGACAGATCGTGTAGAATGTTCACCGCAAGACTTTGAGTGCGCCCACGCCGCCTGTGCAGGTGCCGCTACCCCATGCCGCTCGGCTGCGCGGCGCGGAGTATCGCCCAGCCAGTGGAGCAGCCCGTGGCCCAGCCTCACAGCGAGCGCCCCTCGCGGTCGTCGCTGGAGAGCGACAGACCCAAGGGTAGCTGTACAACGTAATCCAATTTTGCCGTCATCTGGCTTCGGGCAGATCCGTCCTCCACAGACTTTCCCCGCGCCGGTGGTCGGTGGTCCGTGCTCTAACACGGCAAATTTTCTCTTGTCCGCCGATTGCCACTTTGGCATGTAAATTGACGCCGCCGTGTGTCTGGTGGGAAGGGACCAGCATGCGAGTTGGAAAATTTGGCACCACTTGCCTGCTGGGAAAAGTCAGTTGCAAGTCTGTCACTCGAAATTCATTTGGCAGAACACATGGTGTCGTGGAGGTGGTAAAATCTGTACGGCCTGTCTTTTTGAAGGTGATTTCTGGGAGCACGCCGATTACGCACCCTAAAGTCCGTAAATGGAGGTACAAAATGTAACCGCGTGACCGTCGGCACGGTCGCCACCAGTACATGTCGTCGTCGGCGAAAGCGATGGAGTCGACCGGGGTAGTAGCCAGTTGGGCGCTACGCCGTTGGAGGGAGCGGCCGTCGGCGGCAGCGGCCGTTGCAAGCGCTCGTCCTTTTCGGGAAGAGGACGCACAGGCGCTCACCGTGGTCCGAGAAGTATCTCAGTAGAACTGCTGTGACAGGCGCTCAGGACGTGGGGAGCGTAGACTCGAAGCGAAGTAGACTCCAACGTGCCGTCCTTGCTTACGACTATTTACTACGCTAACCGAGGTCGCCACCGCGAGCGTGCGGCGGCTCGGCGCGCGCAGCGCCATCTCGCGGCGACTCGCGGAACCTTGTCTATGTACGCTGTAACTGGAGCGTACTTGTCTATGTACGCTGTTCTTAGAGCGTACTTGGCAAGTACGTAGTACGTACACAATATTTGAAGCGGACATCAGACAAGTACGCTCCAGTTACAGCGCACAAGTAAAACACTTTGATTTGTAGAGCGTTCACATTGTTTTGCAAGTCCGGTGACCGAAGTCGGGGTGGCTGCGCGGAACTTGACGCAGCCTCGCATCTTATGTCCCAGACTTCCCACTCTGGCCGAGTGGGTAGCGGCTCTGACTGGCAGGCGAAAGGCTGCGGGTTCGAGTCGCCCAGACCGCGGGTACACTTTTAGTTTTGTTTGTGTTGTTGTTTGATTCCCGACTATTCGCAGACGGTTCGCAGACGTTCAACACACCTTCCGCTCCGACATGTGCAGGGTGCACCCTGCCGTCCGCAGACAGTTCGCAGACCGATTAAGGTACCTTTTTGTCTGCGGACGGTCTACGGACTGTCGGCGGATGGGCCGCGCCCTGCCTGCGAACACGCTACTTTCGGCCTGACTTTTTCCCGCGCCCCGAGCCGCTCCCCGAGCCCGGTGGGGTTGGCAGGTTTGGCGTCAGACTCGTGCCCCGTGCATCCTCGCACCTGGCTTTGATCATCTTGAAACCCAACACGGCGGGGCGGGGCGGGCGGGCCAGTGGGGCGAGGGGGGGGGGGGGGGGGGGTGATGGCGGGGTGGGGCGGGGCGGGGATTGTGTGAATTGCAAGGCGAGGCGGCGGGGCAAGGCCAGCTCCAGACTGATTCCGAGAGTCGTTTCCGTCGCTCTGTCTCTCTCGCTCGTATACGACCCGCTCCATGAGTGCTCTGTCTCTCTCGCTCGTATACGACCCGCTCCATGAGTGCTCTGTCTCTCTCGCTCGTATACGACCCGCTCCATGAGTGCTCTGTCTCTCTCGCTCGTATACGACCCGCTCCATGAGTGCTCTGTCTCTCTCGCTCGTATACGACCCGCTCCATGAGTGCTCTGTCTCTCTCGCTCGTATACGACCCGCTCCATGAGTGCTCTCTCTCGCTCGTATACGACCCGCTCCATGAGTGCTCTGTCTCTCTCGCTCGTATACGACCCGCTCCATGAGTGCTCTGTCTCTCTCGCTCGTATACGACCCGCTCCATGAGTGCTCTGTCTCTCTCGCTCGTATACGACCCGCTCCATGAGTGCTCTGTCTCTCTCGCTCGTATACGACCCGCTCCATGAATGCTCTGTCTCTCTCGCTCGTATACGACCCGCTCCATGAGTGCTCTGTCTCTCTCGCTCGTATACGACCCGCTCCATGAGTGCTCTGTCTCTCTCGCTCGTATACGACCCGCTCCATGAGTGCGAGAGAGACAGAGCGATCAGCCTGCGGCCCGGACAAAACGCCCAGCCAGGCGATCCCTACGTAGGGCGCGACACTCCGCTCCGATTGACATCCACTGCGCCCCGTAGCAGCCGACGCTAAAAGGAAAAGCAAACACCAAAAAGAGGAGAAAAAGTCGGCCAACACAAAAGCAAAGCGATCCGCGCGTCGCGCTGGAAGCTATTTTTGTATCACTACAATGCACCCCCCCCACACACACACACACACCTCCCCCCCTCCCAACTCCTCCCCCTCCCCAATTTGCGCACAAGACCGTGCGGTCGGCCTTCTCACACTGTAGGCCCGGGCCGGGGAGCGCCCGTCCCGGTGCTCCGCTGTGCTCAACGGGTGGCCTACCCCGTGACTCGCGGGCGCTATGCAGTGTACCAACTGAACCGCGATGATGGCGTAGGCGGAGAAGCGGAGGTTCGCGCGGTGCAGCAGCAAAGCCGCTATTCGTTGCTCTGTCTCTCTCGCACGGCGAGGGAGAGCCCCACGAGTGCGACGGAGACAGAGCGACGAAGCGACTCTTCTGAATCGCTCGGCAGGCCGAGGTAGACAGCGTGCGCACTTGGTGGAGTGGTATCCGCTACCTTACGCAAGCGCGCCACCAAGACCTGCATCTCCCCTCCACACACACACACACACACACACACACACACACACACACACACACACACACACACACACACACACACACACACACACACACACACACACACACACACACACACACACACACACACGTGCGCTCACACACACACACTCAGCCGCGCCCCGACTTCGCCACTCCTTGGCTGCTTCATTGTTGGAGCTTTCTTTTGTCTCCGCACAACGCCACTACATCTTTTATCTCGGCCGGGGCCGCCAGGGCGCGGGGCACGCCCTCGCCACCTCCGGGTAATCTAGTGCTTCGGCACTCCATCTCGCTCGCACCACCCCTTCGGCCGCGACGCCCCGTGAGCGCGGGAGAGATGGAGCGACGAAAACGACTCTCGGAATCAGTCTGCAGGTGGCCCTCCCTCGGCGGCGGCGAGGCGAGGATGGGAATGGGTGGTGGTGGTTTCTGTAGTGTAGACTGATTCCGGGAGTCGTTTTCATCGCTCTGTCTCTCTCACACTCACACCGGACGCTCCATGAGAGAGAGAGAGAGAGAGAGAGAGAGAGAGAGAGAGAGAGAGAGCGACGAAAACGACCCTCTGAATCCGCCTGCTCGTGGGCTGGCCCTCGGTGGGCCGCGCCACGTAATGCGCGCCCAGTGTTTCTCTTTCTCGGTCGCCGAAAGTTTAACGGAGAGAAAAATTGCATTGCTTCATTACTCTTTCGGGGCGGGAAGCGCGGCCTGCTGACAAGTCGTGGCGGGGCGGGGCGGGGCGGGGCGGCCGGAATCGTGGCAGGCTGCGGCGAGAGCGAAGCAATCCGAGGCAAAGGTGAGTTTAATGGAGGAGAGAAGCTGTGGAATCGTCTGGAGGACCGCGAGGCCATTGAGGCTAGGACCTGGCCAGGACCTGGCCAGGACCTGGCCAGGACGACGGGGAGGCCAGGAACACGCCACGAGGGGGCAAAAACTCGTGCAATCATGTGTACACGGCCCCCGAAATCACACGCGAATCATTGAGAATCACGCGAAATCAAGCAATCCAAAATCAGCCAAAATCACTAAAATCGACCGAAATTAGGCAGAATCACACGAAACCAGGCCAAATCAGTCCGAAATCATTTCTTTCCGAACACAATCAAACGCAATCACGCTCAACATCACCCTGGTGCGTCGCGAAATAAGGCAAAATCAGCCATGAAATCAATTAAAACCATGCGCAATCATTCGTTTTCCGAATCATGTGTACACGAAAATCCCGAGTTTTTGCCCCCTCGACACGCCACCAACGCCACGAAGGAGAGTGGCACCTCTTCCTTCACCTGCACTTGAACGAACCGCGGCAAGCAGAGAGGGAAACGAGCACAATATATGGAGGAAATATTGTCCCTAATTTACGTTTTAAATTGCACACCCATGTACACAAACATGGCAATAGTTGTGGACAACACTGTTAAAAAAAGTGCTGTAAATTAACAGCACTTTTGCTGTTAAGTTTGATAGCAGCACGACTTGTTTTATTACAAGCATGTTGTAGCCCTCGGTGCTGTTTTCTGACAGTTCGATTGTAATAAAACAATACTTCTTTGGAGTCTTCGACGATGTCTTCCCAACATTTTTGTTGATTTCATCGTGCTGTTATTAAACAAGACCCTTGTAACCTGACAACAATGTATGTTTTAAGATTGCAAAAGGCTGTTTCTAAACATGAAACCTGTTCAACGACAACTCAACTATTTTGAATCACGATTTCATTGTTGTTACTTGACAAGGAAATTGTTATGAAACGAAAGTGCTGTTTCTGGATGGGTTTCCTGTTCAGACACAAAACAATACTGCTGTTTTTTAACAGCATTACTGTAGGTGATTGTCTTGTAATATTACAGTGGATTTTTAACAGTGAATGACAGCACATAAATATCTATAGTGTGTACACACAATCATGCCGCCGCCGCTCTCCAGCTTCGCTGAGGCTGTCTCTCAGACCCACTGGTACAGAATTTTATTTTTAATGAGCAAAAAGCGGCCATGATGAAGCGCTTCCCGCCCGGTGCTTCCCCAGCCCGCCTCGCCTCGTTGTCAAGCAGCACGTCAAGCACGGCCTGCCCTGGCCTGCCCGTCGCGGCTCGGCTGGCCTAGGGGCTGGCCTAGGGGTTGGCCCTCTCGGCTGCAGACTGATTCCAAGAGTCGTTCTCGTCGCTCCGTCCCTGTCGCACTCACGGGGCGGTCCGTATGGGTGCGAGAGAGACAGAGCGACTCTCAGTCTGCAGGGCTCGGCGCGTCGCAGGGACTCGGCACACCACACAAGACGCAAGCGAGGCGCCGCGCGTCCCAGTGGCGCGGGCGGCTGCGGCTCTTGAGGTTGAGTGTACACAAAGCAACTGTTTCCCAGGCATACCGCCCCGCGCCGGGCCGGGCCGCGCCGGGCCGGGCCATCAGCGTGCGCGAGGCGCGGCTGCCAACCTCCCGGCACTTTTGCTCTCGTTGAAAACAAACAAGAAAAAAGCGTCGCCAGCCTCGCGCCATCCTCTGCCAGTGTCAAGACACTCATCCTTTTTTTCTGCAGAGGCTGAAAATGTCGTCCTTGTTTCAGTTTCCCTCAGAAAACGTGACAGCCATCTCGCCATCAACGCGCGCGCTCCATCCCTTTCCGGTTCCATAAAAAGGACAAAACGGGGACGGGGCCTGCAGGCTGGGCGTCGTCTGCGTCTCTCTCGCACCCATACGGGACGCCCCTCGAGTGCGAGAGAGACAGAGCGACGGAACCGAATCTCAGTGTGCTGGCTTGCCTGGTTCACCGCGCGACCCGCGAGACACTCGTGAACCTTTGCTCGCCACAGTCTGCATTACTGGGACGGCTCTTCGTGGCGTGCGCGTCGTCAGTCTGTCTCTGTCGCACTCACGGGGTACCCCCTAAGGGCGCGAGAGAGACAGAGCGCTCGACTGGTGGGATGAAGCGGCGGCGCGGAACGTCCCGTTTCCCGCCAGAACCGTGCCACTCCATGTCCTGCAGCGGGCTCATTCCCGAATCTCGAATACTATGCTCTATGCTCGAATACTACGTCGCTCTGTCTCTCTCGCACTCACGGGGCGTTGGGTAGGGGTGCGAGAGGGACTGCCAGACGGGGAGCTCTGTAACGGAGTCGGACTGCTGGCCGCGTGACTAAGTGGTTTTCCGTGTCCAGTTTGTCCACAGCCCTGAGCACCACCGTCCGTCCGCGCCACCGGGCCTCAACAGGGAGGGGGCTGGGAGGGGGCTCTCCGGGTCGCGGGTAGCGCAGGCAGCGGCCGCCGGCAGGGAGACTGAGGGGACAGACTGCGCCAAGGGGTCGTACTTTTGCGACACGTGGTTTTACCCCCTTCTCCTCCTTTTCTGGTTGCGAGTCACATGGAAGGTTGGTCGGAGCAGCTGTCAGGCATACTCGGACGCGGATCCAGTGGGACAATGCCCCCCCCCCCTCCACACACACACACACTCGTGTAAATTTTGTCAGAATGTCAGAAACCTGTCTGGAAACCTGATCAAAATTCACGCACCTCTGAAAGATGAAAACTTATTCTGACATTCTGTAGAACTCGAGCCATCAACGTCAGACTAAGTTTTTAGAGAGTCAGATTTCAGAGGTGCGCTTATTTTGATCAGGATTTCAGACATGTTTCTGACACTCTGACAAAAATTTACACGAGTGCCTTTTTAGCCTGAAAGGTAGGCAGTCAAAAAGCGACACGCTTCGCCTCTCCCTCTGGCCGGCTCTGGATCCGCCACTGCCAGCGCGGGGTGTGCGGGGCAGGGGCGGGGGCGGGGCCGGGTTCGTGGACTGTGGACACTACACTACTTCATGTTCGTTGCCGTCGCGCTCCAGGCGGCCCCAGCCCCCCGCAGGCGCGCCTGCCGAGCGATTAAGGGTCGTTTCGTCGCTCTTTCTCTCTCGCACTGATGGGGCACTCCGTAAGGGTGCGAGAGAGACAGCGCGACAAAGCGATCTTCTGAATCTCTGTAGGCCAAGGAGAATGCCGAACTAACACGATAGGGCGTTGGTCAGAGGCTGCACCGCGGGTTCGACGTTAAGTCTTAACCACTCCCAGTAGAACAAGACAGTCATGACTGCGCAGTCATGCAGCGATAACGGACTGATAGCGGGCGCAGGCTCCGCCAGGCTCCGCGTCGAGCGACAGGCAGGGCAGGGCAGGACCGCAGAGCTGTCAGGCACCGGCAGGCACCGGCAGGCACCGGCACGGACGACGGCAGTCGCGGAGGCTGGCAAGGCAAGGCAAGGCGCCTGAATGTAGGCACTCTCTCTGCGGTGCTGCCATTGTGGCGGCGTCCACTGCGACAGCTGCAACCTGCAACGTGGCGTTGAAGCGAGGCAGCCCGGCCAAGTCAGTGCCTCCCGTCATCCCAATCCCAATCCCCACACCACCAAGTCTGCCGCTGAACCGGTCCACCATCGGCGAGGTGAGCCTGCGACGCGCCCACTTGACGAGCAGGACGGTGACAGTGCGACATTGCCCTACTCCAACGCGCCGCTATGGCCTCTGTGGTCCAGACAGGTAAATTGGTCTCTGAAACCCTTCACGCTCGCTGTCATTTGGACTGGTCTTGAAATGTGTCAAACAAATACGGCTGCTCACAGTGTTGGGGCCAGTGGACGCTGGCAAGCTTGGACGAACTCTCACGCATGAGCATTTGTCATTGAACTTCGATGAATTCTACATACCGCCCCCGCCCACTTTGAAGCCGTTCATAGAAAAAAGCCTGTGTCTTGAGAACATTGGTTTGGTCAAGCAGTACCCGTATGTATTCTCTTATGTGGAGAAATATACTTCATTGTTTCTGCTAAAGGTGTACCAGAACTTTTTATTTGGTTGTTGCAGGTATGGAAGCCGAGAGAATCTTGCTTTCTATGGAAATGAAGTTGATGCTGCAGTATTATTTGATATTGAGCTCTTTAAATCTGCTGGAGGTGGGACCATTGTGGAAAATACAAGCCATGGAATTCAACGAAAGATTAAACTCATGGAAACCGTTAGCCGTCAAACAGGAGTGAATATTCTGGCTGGATGTGGTATGTTTATTTTTCTATCTCCAGGAGTACAAACCTCAAAATTTATATGCCAAACCCAAAGAATTTTTGTTCTATGAGTGTTTTAAAAATGTCTAGGATACTATGTTGAGAACCTTCAGCCTGAGAGTGTCCGCTGCATGAGAGAAGAAGAGTTATACAACTCTATCATAACAGAGATGACAGTAGGGTGTATCGACTACCCCAGTGTTAAATGTGGATTTATTGGAGAGGTGGGCAGCGTATGGCCAATTACAGGTACTTCACCCTATGTTTATGTGCAATAAATGGATTTTATTTAAGTTGCCATTTGTAAATTTTTCCGTTTTTAGACTTTGAGAAACGGGCCATTCGAGCTACAGCCCAAGCACAAAACACTCTTGGATGCGCTGTTACTTTTCATCCAGGCCGGCATAACAAGGCTCCATTTGAAATCATGCGCCTCTATTTGGAGGCAGGAGGCAAAGCAAATCGAGCCATTATGTCCCATTTGGATCGTAAGTCATTCCTTGATCGATAATAATACTGACATTTCGTGATTTAACTGTCTCAGTTAGTCCTCTCTCTCTCTCTCTCTAACCTTGGTCGCTATGGCCATTTTTTTTAATTCTAAAAATTCAAAAATGTCGCTTTATTTCAATTACAGGTACATTTGATGAAAAGCAGCACTTCCTTGATTTTGCTGAGCTAGGTTGCTTTTGTCAACTGGACTTATTTGGCACAGAATGTTCATGGTACCAGCTAAACCCCACCCAGGATATGCCATCCGATGCTCAGAGGGTGGAAATATTTTCATGGTTGAAAGCTGAGGGAAAAATCACTCAACTTCTTGGGTCTCATGATATTCACACCCGACATAGACTGGTAGGTGTTAACATTTCTTTGTTTTTTTGTTGTTTTTTTAAATTAATATTGTAGGCTTATCTTTTAAAGTGTTCAAAATTTTTCAGGTGAAATATGGAGGACATGGTTATTCACATCTTTTTACAAATGTGGTACCAAAAATGTTACTGAAAGGGTTCAGTCAGCAAGATGTTGACACCATTTCTATTGAAAACCCAAAAGCATGGCTAATTGGTCACAGAGTATGAAGCTAAAGCTATACTGTACTCAGTAGAATTATTGGAACTATGTTGAATGCTTCAGGAGTCATATATGTAACATAGGAAGAGGAGGGTCAGGGAAATTAATAACAGCATCAGTTGCCTTGATGATATAGCAATCTTTTTATTTGTTAAGTTTGACAGTAGAAGAATACATAGAAATATATTTTTTAGAGAGTTAGGTAAGAAAATTTCATTTTCAAGAACAACCTAAACTTAAAAGGGGAACATGTAAGTAACAGTCCTTAGAAATTTCTACATTTAGCTCAATTGAAGTACCTAGTTCAAGGGGTCCATATTATGCTTCACAATTTTAAAAAATTTGGCAGACGTGTAAGAATACATAGATAAGGCTTAAGTGTTTGGCTTCTGGACGAGGATTGGTCCCGACAGTCTCAATTTGCATGCACTGTGCAAACCAAAAACTCTACCACTCCTTAACTCAATAAGAGAATAAAAGACAAATGTTGAAACGCACATTGGAAGAAGTTGCTTTAAACCTAGTACTACATATAATACTTAAGAATGTAATTGTATGGATATAATAATGAGAGTGCAGTTCGAAGTTATACAAGGCTTGGTACAAAAGATCTAATAGTTATTTCTAACAACATGCAACATCAACAAGAGATCACTTACAAAATCATAGATTTATACAGTTTAAAATGTCTAAAAGCAACATTTAAGAAGAGGCATTTTTCTAGTCATCATCTTCATCGTCATCGTCATCATTTAATGATGACTGCTGTATAATTTTTGGAATACAAGATTGGTCTGGTATCACACCATGCTCAATAAGAAATGCTTCAACTTCCTCGGCAGAAAAGTCAGAGCCAAGATCATCTGTAATTCTTACAAAGTTCCCTATAAGCTGCCCTCCCTTGTAGGCCAACAAAGCAGGAAGCCCTCCAGACTTGAAACGTTGACTCATTCCAGCGACAGAGCTTAATATTTTGCAGAACTTGACCTTCGGAAATTTCTCACTTAGACATTCAAGACAACTATTCATAGAGTGACATCCTGAAATATTATTCTCACATATATGAATGATTACAGTCACTGCGGCATGCTCATTATCAATGACCTCCAAAAATTCTCCACTTTCATTTAATGAAATCAGCTTCCCAAATGACGGGAGGTTTTTGTACTGGTCAAGCATCTCTTTCATCCTTTTCTCTTGATACTGAAGAAGAAAGCTGTCCTCAAGAAGCTCTTGAAGCTCCGGATCTAGCTGCTCAGCTTTGGCTTTATCCTTCTCATCATCTAAAGCTGACTGACATGTAAGAGACAATTTCTTAATGAGCTCCAATTTTTCTTTTTCTTGTTCAGCACGCTTCTCTGTTTCTAACTGCTTGAATCGTTGCCAATCCTTGATCACACCTTTCGGGCCAGTGTTTGTCGATGAGCCAGACCAAGGCTCAGGTTGTGGCAAGGCATTGGAGTTGGAAGGCTGAGTCTCTTTGCCACCAGTTTCTTCATCTCCAGAGCCTGACTTCTCGTCTTCGTCTTCACTACTACTGCAGTAGTTGTGAAGTTTCTCTCCTAGAATCTTGTCTTCAAGTGTGGCCATTTTCCTTGCCTGTTGGTAAGAGACACTTTACAGTTTCAGAGGTTTACCTGTGCTGGAAAACAAGGGTCGCACTACAATATTCTGCTATGAACAAACAGCGAGGAACTTACAATGGGCTTGCAATGAGAAGAGAACCGATCACTTCTTGTCAAAACAAGTCAAACCCTCGATTGATTTTTGTTTACAAATCAAGAAGTTCACCAGTTCACACACCCCTTCCCCTTCTCCTTCGATAGTATCGAGCACCAAGAGTGCACTACCCCCAACTAACAAGCAATAAACACCACATTCCCGTTTTGGATCTCAGAGCAAAGTACAGCGACAGCCCTTCACGCACACTTTTTTACACTAACAGTGAACAAAGGATTTTTGCTACAATGACTTGGAAGCAGATTAAAATAGCCTAGTTTTTCATGTTTTTCCGTAAAGTTGGTGTCATGTAAATGGGTCTTTTCGTGAGGCTAGCTGGGCGGAATCGCAATCGCAAAGTGTTACTGATTGTGTTCTCATTTTCATGTTACAAAACCTATTTTAATGTTTTTTTTATGATGTTCAAACGAAAATTTGAAACGTTTAGTCACTTTGTGTGGTGTCTGGTTTCTCTCAGGAACATCGAGATTTAATTTAGGTCAGTCCTATTGACTTGGGTGCGGATATATGTGAAGTAGCACAGGGATACGGCCACTGTGAAAACAAACTAAGAAACTACCTCTCATGAAAATTTGTTATTTATTTAAGTTGCACTCATGCCTTCAAACATCTCAGTCACAACACCTAGTTACATTAGTTGACTGCAGTTTCTGCTGTATTCACAGTCTTCGTTCTCGACCTATTCGAATATCGGTTTATCATGTTTACCTGTGGACTGTGGTTCTGTAAACTTTGGAATCAGTTTCTTTATTTCAGATTATATATGTTCCATTTAGTCATACTTGCAGCATTATTAACTATTCCCAATGTTTCAGGAATAATCACAATTTGTCATAAAAGGGGCCATGGCCTCAAATGACTCTGGAGTCGAACTGGTAATGAAAGCAATGATGGACCTTTTGACAGCAAATCAGAAGACAAGATCGACAAAATTGAACAAATATCTACCGTAGGTGTGTCCAAAATGTTTCCATTATTCCCTGAAAATGTGTTCAGTAGCACAGAAAATGCAGTGAGAATGGTGAGTTTTACCTAAAGGTTTCACTACTAAACTATTTTGTAACTTCTAAGATCACAAAATATGTTGGAAGTTTATTCTTTATATTATCTGTTCCTTTAGACAAGCTTTTTATCTGGGCCTGGCCTACCACCTTTTAAGCTGCCATCATCTGGTCTTCCTCCAGGATTTGCCAGAGACCCTGAAAGTAAGTACTGTATGATGGATGCTTTGAACTTGTTACACTTCTTGAAAAACAGTCATCACCTTTTTTCTATTGCTTCTGTTATTCCAGGGAGATCTTTGTTAATGATGAAACGGCTCAATGAAGGGGCATTATTAGATCAGGCTAAAAAACGAAGTGAATGGAAAAATTGGGAATGGACTGATGGTCTAGGTATTGTACTTTATTTGATATTTGTGGTCTGCTTCCCAACATTCTTATCTAAATATGTTTTTAAAACCTTCTACTGCTGCTTACAGTTGAGCGCAAGTTGAGAATCGCTGTCTCTACTAACAATATTGAATTAGTTCAAAGCTATTTATTTTCTGGTGTGAACCCAAATTGTGTGGACTCCATGGGTAGATCACCCCTTCACCTTGCATCATGCAGTGGCTATTCAGACATAGTAAGGTAAACAGGTTTTCATCTTCTTCTACAAATTCACTTGGCCTAAGATTATTGTATTTATTATTAGTATAATTCTATTTATCGTTTTATTTGGATTTTTAAGGTTACTCTTAGAGAATGGAGCCAACCCCAATCAACGTGACCGACTAGGCAATACCCCTTTACATCTAGCTGCCTGCACTAATAACATTGTTGTTGTTACATTATTGCTAAAAGCAGGTGTGTAGTTTGTTTTGGATTTTCTTCTCTGATTTTTTTTAAATTCTTTACTGTAACAGGGCATTTTGTACTGTTTGTAAATTTCTTTTATTTTTACTGTAGGAACTGATGTATGCACTATTGACTTGCACGGGCGCAGCCCACTGCAATTGGCTCAGTCAAAATTAAAACTTCTTCAGAAACATATGAGCGGTGATGGCACTTCTGAAAATTGTGCCAGAAATCAGTCCTTTCAAGTTGTTTTCCCTCCTAAGCAGTCCCTTGAAACTATTGCAGAAATGCCTGTATATGATAATGCATATGTATCTAATCAAGCTTTGCAGGTGTGTATGTACTACCTAATAATTAAATACAGCTTTCGAATATTTGTCTTATATGCAGCTGCATGCAGCACAATGTAACTTGTTTTTTCAAAAGTGTCATTTCTTTTTACAGATAGTTGAAATGATAAAACTCTTTCTTCAGAAAAGAGGGCAAGAAGCTGAGGCTGATCTTTTGAGTGCTTTCTCATCTCGCTTGAACTTAAGTGAAACGAAAGAGCAAGTGGAAACTCAAGTCAGGGACTTGTTAGACAGCTTATCTGGTCTCAGTCTGAATAGTATGAGCAGTGCAAGCAGTGCAAGCAGTGCCAATGAAACCCAAGGATCAGCAAATGCCACAAGCGTATTTAATAACAATTGCACTACGAGTGGCCCTACTGGTGCTTCATTTTTCTCCAATGCCTTCTCACCTTCAAGCAGTGTGCCGAGTACCCCATTCTGCTCGTTGATGCCATCGGCTGATTCAGATTCGCAGGCAGGACCAATGCGGCATAGAACATTTCGTAGAAGAGCTATGCGCCGGATGGAGAGAGGGGTGGCTCAACTCTACCATACACGGGAAAGGGAGAAAAACTATGATAACAACTGAAATTATCTACTTGATGTGTTTAAGTTTTTTGTGCATTTTAGCACATTATTTGTGATATTTGCCTTCTGCAGTGAAATCAGCTTAATAGTGTCATCTCTTTTTTTGGGGGAAAGACAGTGATATTTGGTTTCTTACCTCAACCTTGTTTTGAGTCCACTTAAGTTGTCTGCTAATGACATTAAGCTGGTTTTCCTGCCCTTTTTGCCCTTTCTTAAATATGTCTTTGTCTTGTACATACTTAAGAACTCTTGTTGATCTGTAAGACATAAAATCATTGTGATAATTTTAAGAATGTTTTCTTCGTGTAATGAGTTTTCATCTTGTACTGAATCCTTATATTATGACTATAATTCATTTTGTAGAGTTTCTTGTTTTGCTCAAATTCTGGACATCAAGAATAGAGGCCAACCAATTAATCAAGACTTAAATAAAGACATACTGTTCAGAGACTCTTCACACATGCTGACCAAGTTTGTCACTTTTCTTCTTATCCCTTCAAAAATGTCATTGTAGCCTTAAGAGTTTTTTTTTTTTTTTGTTTTGTTTTGAACTTAAGGATTTATCAGTAAGTAGTTAATTATGTACTTATTGATTCTTAATGTGTAATTGTAAAGTGGAATAATGGCGGGGAATCAAGCTGCTGCCATACACTATTGTAGATGATTGTTTCTCTGAGCGCTTGCTACTCAACTGCTTTGTGAACATTCCTCTCTTCCCAATGTCATTTGTTTGAATAAATTTCATTTCATTTGTTATTTTTTATTCCTTACACATTGAATGTCCCTCCTCCCTCATCTCGCTTAATTGTTGATCAGGCCGTAAGATCAAGACAGAATGCAAAGATATCGTGAAGAAACAGCAACACCATTATTTCACCGTCCTGGGGCGCCTGTGGGCCCTCTAGTTGCGGTGAAGAGGCTGTGGACGATGCCTTTCCGGCGCACGCTCAAAGAATTCAAGTTTTGTCAGAAAAAGACTGTAAAGGGCCGAAATGGTCATCAAAATGGTGTCAGGAGTTCTAAGGGAGTACTCCAGCACATGGTACTCCAAATTAGGATCATATTAATTTTTTTGCTGAAGATGTGAAAAAAGTTCGGGCACATGACGTCTGTGTGTTAGAGGCTAAAGCCGCGCCACCAAGGTATGCCATGCCACCCATTTGACACACTGGGGGAGTGGGAGCCGACGGCAGGAACTCTTCTGCACCCTAAGAGGGAGAGGACGGACGAGTGTTTGCTTCGCGTCTTTATTGTAGCCTGGAAGTGCTAGCCGCGCCGTCATGGTAGGCCACCCATTTGACACGCTGCTGCAAAAGCAGCGCTGCGGTGGAAAATAGAAGCCATACAGTATCCTGCCGGGATTTGAACACCGACACCTCAGCCCATTGAGCCAGAGGCACTGACTGATTTATGTTCATCTTAACATGATGAGATTTTTAGATTCTGAGAGATTCTTAAGGAATACCCCTGAATTATCACAGGGTGTATCACAGGGAGTTAAGTTACTGTGCCTTGGGTATAACATTTGTAAGGGATTTGATTCATGGCAAATGAATTTGAAGTTTCGTGTACTCTTTGAATTTAACATAAAGCTTTAATGGTGGGTAACACTTTACATGCTTCATAAACAAAAATGTACAATCAGTTCCATCAAAATACAATTAAAGGTCTTATAATTGTCCAAAGCTTCCTGCAGGCCAAGACCCAACATTGTAACTCGAGTCGCAACAATAAGTTTACAAATAATGTAAATCACAGACATCAACACATGCAATGAGAAATTAACAAAACATGGAGAAGGTAAAAGTTACATAACTATGCTTTATGTACAGATTCTTATTAATTCTACTTAGCATTCTTAGTGTTTTTAAATTTATGATAAACTAACAGTTTATAAATATTTAACTTTTTAAAATTTAGCGACCATAATTGTCAATATAATAGCTAGCAAGGAGACAAATACTCAATATTTTATCGTAAGAACTTAACAGCACCAAAATCTACCACATAGGTATGAAATAAAGAAGAGTATTGAACTCAGCAATGAGATCACCCAAGAGGCCACAAGGCTCTACAAATATCCATTTAATAATTTGGTTGAAGCTGCTGCTCACAATTAAATCCTATTGCATGGCACAAGAGAAGGGGCTACCCACCCATAGAGTCATCATTAAGAAGCTTCACAATTATGATTCTTAAGCCACATTGACATTGCATCTGCTAAACCATTTGACACACAAAGTCTAAGGAACAGGAGATTGATAATTGAATACCTACAAAAAGAATTTAAAAGCTATTAGATATTGATGCACTTGGTAACTGCATTATGAAACAAAATTTCATTTCTACAATTGCATAGATCCTTTAAAATGCTAATTGCACACAACATCAAAACCAAAAGCTCTGCAGCCTCAAATCAACTACACCACCTCCTACAAATTTTAAAATGATTATTTAAGAAAAAATCTACGAAGCAAATTACAGAAACATTGAGAAGAAATGTATACTCTAAAATATTGACACTGAATGCAAATTCCTAGCATAGAATATTATGTGAACAATAAGAAGCATAAATTCAGAAGCACCACAACTAACAGAGAAAGCGTAATAAATCAAGACTCGAACACATGAGGTATTTTAGCGTGAACAGAGCAACATATTTCAATTAAGGAGACTAAAAGTACGCAATCCATGTTAAGTGCATTCACAGATCTAAACTTAAAATGAGGCATTTTGTATGGCAATAGATTTGGCACAGTCATTCACCAGGTATTGCCCAAGGGCTTGATCAACATCAGCACACTAGATGATAAATTAAAAATATTGCTCAGAAAAAAAAAAAAAAGAAAAAAAAGGGTCAAGTTGCAACAGAAGAAATAATAACACAGGCATTTTTCAGTCAAAATAAATGATTACAGTTAGAAATTAAAACACAATATATTTATATTCAAAAGGAAGTCTTTGTACGATTTCAATAAAAATGCATTACACAACAATAAAGAGAGCCTCTACAAATTAATGCAATATTGACAACTAAACCAGACATTGGAGCCTGATGTTGTCTTCAGTTCTATCAGGTTTGATGAGCAAAAGATAAAAAACAAAAATAAAAGAATCAAGCCACCTACACAGACTTTATACATATGTAGATAGAATAACTTACTAATATCTCTGCAATCACTGGATTACCAACACATGGTTCAATATCTATTCTCCAATGGATCTTAGCGAACAGATGAATTTGAATAAAATCACTAGAGATGCGGTCTGATGACCATGGCATCAAGTCATGAGCTGGAACACGTTTCATAAACGCATCACAGCACTAACTAAAAAAAAAAGAAGAAACAAAACAAAGGTTGCGGTGAGATCAGAGCCCCTGGCCTGTCCTTCTTGTCGTCACTCCCCTGCTTTGGAAAGGCTGAGAGGGTAGCGTTCTTTGTGTCAGTTTCCAGCCAGGGACTCTAGAGCAGTGAGATCACAACAAAACACAGCATTGGGTATGCGATGCTAGGAACTCCACAGCGTCGTTGATGAGAGGTGCCAGAACCAGCAGCCGAGGGCACTTGTAACACTCGCTCGACGGCTCTGGCTCCTGGCTGTGGCCGCCAGGTCGACCGCCAGGACGCGTCATAGCGAAGCGGATTTGACGCGAGGTGCCCTACTCTGGCACTCGCGCCAGCTTGGAGGCTGGCACCGCCGAGGGGCCTTCCTCGGAGGCGGCGGCGAGCTGGTCAGGGGCGGACCAGCGCCGCTTCTTGGAGGCCGCAGCCGCGTCCACGCTGGAGGAGGTCGCGGAGGCCGTCGGGGTGGAGGCGGGCCCCGGAAGGTGCAGAATCCGCGGCAGTCCTGTGGGCGGCGGCAGCAGCAGGTGGTGGTGGTACTGCTTCGGTGGCTGCTGCTGGTGAAGCTGCTGCAGCTGTTGCTGCTGTTGCTGCAGCTGCTGTTGCTGAAGCTGTTGCTGCTGTTGTTGCTGGAGCTGCAGCTGCTGCTGTTGCTGCTGTAGTTGCTGCTGCTGCTGCTGCTGCTGCTGCTGCTGCTTCTTGGTTGGTCGTCGCGCAGCCGGTGCCTTGGGCGCCGGCCTCGGTGGCGGCTGCAACTGTAGCTGTGGCTGCTGCGGCTGCTGCTCCTGCTGCTCCTCCTGATGGCGCTGCGTCAGCGACACCACCACGTCGCCCACGTGCAGTTGCCGGCAGTCCAGCCCCAGCAGCTGCAGCGCCCGTTCGGGCGAGCACGACGACCAGCCGAAGCCGTACACGAAGAAGGGGTGCTCCGAGGAGGTCTCGATTTCCGACTGAAACAGACAAGGAGGACGGTCAGTCAGAGGTCGAGGAACGAGGACGAAAGCGACGTGGGTCGAGTCACTCCACTGTGAGGGCCCGCATCGCGCATCGCCAGGAGAGCCGGGCTGCACCGGGCGGAGAGGTCGGCCTGGCCGGTGCCCGGCCATCTTCATTTCAATCTCGATCCGCATTCCACGGAGAACGTATCTCCGATCTCGCCTTGCCTCCCCTCCCCCTCCACACACTCCGGGCTCAGTGACTACCACATTCCAGTTCCATCTCGGCCCTTCCTCCCCGCTCCTCCGATTCATTGACCTTGCACGCTCGACACCCTCCGTGCAACACTTGGCTCCACGCACCACAGTGGGCCAGAAAGAAGACCGGTGGAGGCGGCCAAGACTCTAGACGCGCTTTGAGTTCGAGCGCCGCCAAGCAGGACTCGAACCGAACGTGAGTGACGTTCGGGTCCCATTTAGCGACTCTAGAGCCGAAAACCCGTCCGGGACTTTGACCGCGTCCACCGGTCTTCTGGCAAATCCACTGAGCACACCCGTCGTGCACTAGCAAAACGCAGGGATGTCCAGAATCTTCCTTCTGGACGGAAGGAAGTTGTTGTGCGTCTTCAAGGACGCCCAGGACGGAATTCAGCAAACCGCGAGACGGTGCAACGTGATGCGCGGGCACCGCGCACCGCGGCGCCGGCACAAGAGAGACAGAGAGAAGAGAGGGGGACGGGGGGCGGGGGGCGGCGGAGAGAGGAACTGGGAGAGGAGAGGTCATCAACCCATCCTGCCGGCCTGCAGACCTGCCGCCGCCTGCACAGCCTGCACCAGGCAGTAAGGAACGCAGCAGCAGGGAGAGGGGGATCCCAGAGGCACGGTGCACGCGGTGCAATGCGGTGCACGGCGGGGAGACGGTGGAAGGGAAAGGGTGCAGGGAACCGAGGCAAGCTGGACGCACATGCACCAAATGGCACCTCAGCGGTCCGCGGAGCAAAGGAGTTGAATGCGAGAGCCCGTCGGCGTGCGCGCGTGCGCCGCGTCACGAAGGTCGCCGCGCCGAGCCGGTGCCACTTGAAACGGTTCTGGCTGTCCACTGCCGCCGCGGACATCACGACGGACACGGGCCTGCACAGTGTACTCTACTCACCTCGTTGCCGTCGACGCTCAGCGTGACGGACACCCTGGAGTTGAGCTGGGTGACGATCCTGACGACGGTGGCGGGGTCAGCCCTCACGGTGGGGTTCCTGTTCGCCGAGGCCACGAAGTCCTCCGCCTTCATCTCCTGAACTCTCCGCAGCTCCCCGGTAGCCAGCCTGCAGCAACACGGTCAGGGTTAGGGACGTCGCGTGGCGATGGCCGAGCGGGCGGTCGCGGTGGACGCCATCCTTACCTGATGAGAGAGCCCTTCCAGAACTGCGGCAGGGTGGTGGCAGCCACACCGGGTGAAGTCTGCCGCGGCGGCGTTTGTGGCTGCGGCGGCGGGGAGCGGTAGTCCTGCGCCCTGGACGCGGCCGCCGGCGCCGGGGAGGCCATGGACGTCATGGGGGGTGACGGCATGGACGGCAAGCTGGACGACGCCGCGGCCACGGACGCCGACGACGCGGCGGCGGAGGGGAGGTGCCGCGGCGGGGGCGCCATCACGCGGTGCCTGGCGTCGTGGCGGCTGGAGGACAGTGCCGGCCCCGGCACGGGCACCTTGAACGTCGACCTGGACGACGGCGCCGGCTTGGGGGCGGGCGGCGGCGCCAGGGGGGCGGCGGGGGCGGTGGAGGCCGCGGGCGGCGAGAAGGTGGTGGGCGCGTCCGGTGGCGGCGGCAGCCGGCTGGTGTACGACGAGTAGGGCGACGGTGGCGGGTACATGGGGTAGTGCTGGTAGTAGCCCATGCTGTGACTGCTATGGCTGCTGTGGCTGCTGTGGCTGCTGTGGCTGCTGTGACTACTGTGCCCCGACAGCCTGTCCTTGTCCTCCTTGTGCGCCGTCAGGTTGACGGGGGCGGGCGACGGCGCCGAGCGCCGGTCCACTGGTGACTGCTGGGGGCTGGGCGTCGCCGTCGAGACGCGATGGTGGTGCGAGGTGGCGGCGTACCTGGAGAGAACAAAGTTGGTCACACTGCAGAAAACAGATTAGAAATCTGCCAAAAATCATTCATAAAGAAAATACTAGAGTTAAGACAGCCACTAAGAGACACAACGCGAGGGCTGCTGAAACTGAGAGCAGGCCTAGAAGAAGGGGGGGAAACTCACCTTGCTATGTGTTGCTGCTGCTGGTGGTGTAACCAATAAAGGTTGGGTGGTGAAAACATCGCAGCCCCTGGACCAGGCTCTCCAGGTCTAATTGACCAAGGCCAAAAAAAGAAGCAAAAGGGCAAAAATAAATAAAAGAAGCAAAATAAAGAAACTATGTTCGACAATACTGTAAACGAACGACTCGACACTACGATGGCATGCGATGGCACACTAGTAGAACCGCACGCTTGACCGCACGCCGAAGACTTGACGCATCAAGTCAAGCGTACAGAGGAAATCCTCCATGCATTTGGACAGGCCGGGGAGGACCGGCACGGAGAACTAACTACACTGGTAGCCAACGAATGTGACGTCACATTCGTTGGAGTGTGAATTTTGTCACGTTCGTTTGAATATGATGTCACATTCGTATGAATGTTGACCAACATTCAAACGAATGTGACACCCTACTTGAACGGCCGAGTCACGTTCAAACGAACGTGACAAAATTCACATTCGAACGAACGTGACAAAATTCACATTCGAACGAACGTGACAAAATTCACATTCGAACGAATATGACGTCACATTTGTTGGTTACCTCTCGCACTACGCGCCAAAGTACGCAGCAGTTCTACCAGTGCAGTCCACGGACACGCCTCAACGTATCCTGCACATCGAATCTGAATCTACCCGGGCACTACAAAGTCTATCGTCTGCAGACTGATTCCGCGAGAGTCATTTCAGATCTTTCAGATGCTGTCTCTCTCGCACCAACACGAGCCGCCCCACGAGTGCGAGAGAGACGGACTCTCAGTCCGCTGGCGGTTGCAAGGCGACTCTCACCTGTGTGGGGGCAGCGGCCGCAGAAACTCGCCGCCGGTGAAGGCCTGCAGCATGGGGTGGTGGGACGGCGGCCCCAGGCCCGCGCCGAGCGTGGAGCCCAGGCCGGAGCCCAGGCCCGACCCCAGCGAGGAGCCCAGGCCATGGCTCACCCGGTGCGCCGGCTCCACTGCAAGTCCGGCGGACAGCATCTCACAGCCTGCAACAGGAGGACGACGAGGGTCAAGGAGAGAGGCAGCAACACCGAGCCAGCAAGCAAGCAGGCGGCCAAATGTGACTGGCAAGCGCTAACTCGCTCGCAAACTCGGACACTGTGAAGCCAAGGAGAATCCCACACACATGAAATGCGAAGAAATGCTTCGCACTATGGAGCAAAATCCTTTGCAATACACCAAAGTGTGGAGAATTACTCCGCACCAGGAAGCGAGGAGTTGCCCACACTCGAATTCGACCGCTGGTGTACAGTTCTCAATTGGGGCTGGCATCACACACGCGTGCCGATGGATTCCTAGTTTCAAAGGGGCCCATTGTTTGATGTGTGAGGCCGCGCTTCGGGTGTCACCATGGTGTCACGGCGGCAGAGGGCCCACTGTGCGGGCCGCTTCGCCGCTTCTGCCCGTCCTGGCCGTGTCGGGTGGCGACGCCGCGGCGAGCGCGAACTGCGCAAGGGGTTGGCAGGAGGGGCATGACCTCCCCCCAGACAGCCGCCTGGACTGTTGACAAATGGCGATACATTCCACCTCGGCGTACTCCTTCCCTCTTATTCAAAATTTGAACGCACGTCACTCTGAGCAACCTGGCCGAATGGAACGTGTCTGGAGCAAAACGGTGCGGAGAACGCACCCAAATCAAGGTTTCCTCACTCGACGCACGGAACCACGCACTTGCAGTTCGCGCCGAGCCGACCACGGTTTGGATGCGAGTGACCCGTCACGACACGGCGGCGCGCGCCAGGGTCAGCCACGTTGCTTTCGACGCGCAGCCCGCCGAGCGACCCAGCCACCACCCGGCCGTCTCTCTCACACCGATGGGGGCGAGAAAGAGAGACTGCCCTACACCAGAGGGCGCGTGAGAGAGGGCAGTTGCGCAAGACGATGCTCCCCCCAGCAGACCGACTGATCAATGCGGAGTCCAAACCACCAGACTGATTCCGAAAGATATCGTTTCGTCGCCCCCTCTCTCTCTCGCACTCCCATCCCAGTGGGCCAGAAGACCGGCGGAGGCAGCTGAAATTCTATACGCGCTTTGAGCTCCAGAGTCGCTAAACAGGACTCGAACCGAACGTGTGACCCCACCAATGGATCCGTCATTCGGCGAGCAACCCATTGGTGAGGTCACACGTTCGGTTCGAGTCCCATTTAGCGACTCTGGAGCTCAAACGGCGTCTGGAATTTCTGCCACCTCCACCGGTCTTCTGGCCCACTGTGCACCCTTGGAAACCAATCCCAAGCGAGACGTTCCATCCACGAAGCAAGAGGCCCCTGGAGCGGCTCAGCGTCTCGAGCCCCCGCGAACCCCCGCCAGCAAACACCGAACGGGGCGAGTGTCGCCGCAAACATCGTCCCATCCGAGTCTCCACTCCACGCACCAATCCCGAAACGCCACGCCACGCCCAGTCCTCGAGGTGGCGCCTCAGTCTCGGCAGGGCATAGACTTGCCCCGAAAAGAGGCACGAGGGGGCAGCAGCGACAAAAACCCGATTCCCTCGTGCCCCTGCATAATCATGGCGCGCTTCAGCGGGGAGCTTCCGGCAAAGTGGCGAGCAGCGCGGCGCAGCGCGAACGGATCGACAAATTCCATTTCCGCCCCTCTTTGACAGTCTCGTCTTTGACGCGCAGCGCGCTGTCGCAGCTGCAGCGGCGCAGAGGCCGGCCGCCCCGCACTACACTCTAAGGCGCCAATGCCACAAGACCGGCAGAGGCGGCAAAAACTCTAGACGCGTTTTGAGCTCCAGCGTCGCTAAATGGGACTCGGACCGAACGTGTGACCCCACCAATGGATTGCTCTCCGAACGACGACTCCATTGGTGGGGTCACACGTTCGGTTCGAATCCCATTTCGCGACTCTGGAACTCGAAACGCGTTTAGAATTTTGGCCGCCTCCACCGGTCTTCTGGCCCACTGTACAACGTTCCCGTTCTCCACTGACCGTCATTTTGCATTGACGGTGTCCAGGCTTCGCCGCCAATAGAGAGGCGCCTTTCAAGCTTGCCTCGCAGAGGGAGGGCACGTGATTGGCTGCAATGTAAGGCACCGCCCGGCACCGCCTGTCACGTCGAGCTTCCAGGGTGAGTTATTGGCGGGCTTGAGGTTTTACCACCGCCCTTTGCAACAAGGCGCCAATTCATTTCGAGAGCCTCCTCTATCTAGCGCGCGCTCCTCCTGAACGTTCGGCACGGCCGCGCGATAACAGTTGCCGAGGAACTTCCGAGTACACAAGCGCGTTGCGGCCCGATAAGGCGCGAAAAAAAAAGCAAACAACATGACAATAATAAAAGCAACAAAAGCAAAAGAGTACGCGTTTACAAACGCCCCGACCGATAACGCGCCGCACCACGCGGAGCTCGCGGAGCCCCACAGCCTGTCGCGAGGCTATCTTATCGGCCCGATGATCCGTCAAGCGGCAGCAGGGCGAGCAGGGCAGCGCTGGCCGGCAGCCGGCAGGTCAGGCCTCGGCCAGCCTCGCCGGGGACACGGTCAGAGTGGACGGCGGGGCGAAGCATAAGTGGTTGCGACGGCCAGCAGTCCAATTTAGCGACCGCACCTACACTCGACTGCACTCATGGGAGAGCACTAGGACAGGACAATCCCTCTCGACTCACAGACAGCCACCTGAAAGGCATAGCCAAAGAGCAGCACTTCGCCCCTAGGCAAAAAGTGCCGCCCCTTACCTATATTAACGACTTGACCGCAATTGATCGTTTATCTCATGTCGGTGATTCACCAGCACCCCTTCAAGCCGCCTCAACCCACAGCCGCACGGGTGTTCCCTCCCCCCTCCTCTGCAGGCTGATTCCGACCGGCGTTCCGCCGCTCCGCGGACTGATTCCGCTCATCGCTGCTCGTCGGTCTGTCTCTCTCGCACCTCCTCACGGAACGCGCCATGAGTGCGAGGGAGACGGTCCTCAGCGATCAGCGGAACCATCCTCAGCCCCCCCACCCTTCCGGACCCCGCATTAGAGACTAATGAGTGCGAGACAGACAGACAGACAGACAGACAGGGAGACAGACAGACAGAGAGGCAGAGACACAGAGAGCGGCCCGCTGTGGCGCCAGAGGGGTGCCTACCACGCATGACGTCACCGCGGGAGGGGCGCCGCCGGGCCGGGCCCGCCGCTTTGGCCGCTTCACCGGGCGGCCCTCGGCGGCCCTTTGGCGGCCTTGCCCTTGCCGTATATCGACCCGCCCTCCCCGTCACGCCCTTCCGCTACGCCGCTACGCCCTGCAGGCCCATTCACTCGGGGGAGCAGGGCGAAGCGCGAAGCGCGAGGGGAGGGGGTCGTGGAGTAGTACGAGAGAAAGAAGTTCCCGCCCACCCTTCCTCCCTTCGGCGCCCTTCGGCCTCTCGGACGAGGAACGGAGTCGGACCCGGCTGGAGCGAGCTGGAGCGAGCTGGAGCGAGCTGCAGCCAGACAAACCCGGGTCGTGCCGCCCACGCCCTCTCGGAGCCTTTGAGAGGGGGCGCGGCGCGAGGTGGCGCCAGGAGAAAAAGAGAGAGAGAGAGAGAGAGAGAGAGAGAGAGAGAGAGAGAGAGAGAGAGAGAGAGAGAGAGAGAGAGAGAAGGAGAGAGAGAAGGAGAGAGAGAAGGAGAGAGAGAAAAGGAGAGAGAGAAAAGGAGAGAGAGAAAAGGAGAGAGAGAAAAGGAGAGAGAGAAAAGGAGAGAGAGAAAAGGAGAGAGAGAAAAGGAGAGAGAGAAAAGGAGAGAGAGAAAAGGAGAGAGAGAAAGGAGAGAGAGAGGAGAGAGGGAGAGAGAGAAAAGGAGAGAGAGAAAAGGAGAGAGAGAAAAGGAGAGAGAGAAAAGGAGAGAGAGAAAAGGAGAGAGAGAAAAGGAGAGAGAGAGAGAGAGAAAAGGAGAGGAAGAAAAGGAGAGAGAACAGCATACACTAACGAGAAGCATAGAGAAAAGCATAGAGAAAGAAGGTGAAGACGGAGGGACAGAGAAAGGGAGAGGGTTGCCGAGGCGCGCGTGGGCGCCAAAGAGAAAGAGAGAGAGGGAGGGTGGGCGAGGAGGCGAGGGGCGCCGTGCGCAGTGGCGTCCGATTGGCCGCCGCGGAGAAGGCCTCGCCGCCGCGCCCTGCAGGTGACATGACGGGCCGAGGGCAGCCGAGGGCTCCTCCAGGCCCAGTTTTGGCCGCCTCTCTGGCTCAATGCGCGGCATACAGGCGGACAGGCAGACAATGTCGCCTCCGGGCGCAACGTGGGCGTCGGGCGAGCGGCGAGGCTTACCAGCAGACTGATTCCGAGAGTCGAATTCGTCGCTTTGTCTCTCTCTCGCGCTCATGGGGCGTGCTGTGTGTAGGCGCGAGAGAGACAGAGCGACGAAAACGACCCTCCGAATCAGTTTGCAGCTAAAAGCACGCCCACCACGCTCTGGACACTCCAGCACTCCGCAAATCCCCCATCCCCCTCCCTCCAATTTTTCTCTTTCTTTCTCTCTGCGTCTCCTCGCTCCCTTTCTCCTCTCTTCGTAACAAAATTCACGTACTCTCCAACAACGATCCCCCCCTTCAGAGAGAGACAGAGCGCTGGTGGCGTAGAGTGGGGCGCGGCCCGCGCGCGGCGCACGGCCATTCATCACCCCAACCCCCAGGACTGGGCCAAGCCTGTAGTAAACCCACCCACGCTCCAACCCACACGCCCACCCTCCGGGCAGGCCGGGCGGGGCGAAGGGAAAGGGAGGGGGGAGGGCTAGCACCCGCCAACCCAAAGCGACCCCCAACGCCACAGCTGCGGGGCAAACCTGAGCAAACCCAAGCCCAAGGCGCGGTGCTGCCGCGCCACTGCTCACTCCTCCTCCAATCCTGCCCACAATATTTGCACATGATGGATGCAGATTTGACCTCCCCCCTCCGCCCCCTCCCCTCCCGCCCTGGGCCTCTCCAAGGGGTGGCCGGCGCAAGACGGCGTCGATGAGATCGGGTCGAGGGAGGGGAAGGGGAGGGGGGAGCGTCAAGTTCTTTGCCGAGACGCCGCGAGGGCTCGCCCCACCCCGCCTCCGTAAATCAACCCCTTTTCTCGGCCCCTCCGTGACCCCGGCGCGGCGGCGCCCCGGAAGTCTGTCGCTATCGCGACGGCGTCGCACGGCGTCACACGGCGCCGCACCAAAATAGCGACAGACGCGGCCAAATTTGGAGGCGCCCCGCCGCGTTCCAGGTCGTCGCCCCACCCCGGGGGGCAGGCCCAGCACGCTGCTGATTCCGGGGGTTTCTTTTCGGCGCTCCGTCTGCGTCGCACTGGCTTGCTATAGGGTGCCCCGTAGCGGTGCGAGAGAGACAGAGCGACGAAAACGACTCTCGCAATCAGTCTGCAGGGCAGCCCGGGGGCATCGCCACCAACGTCGTCGTCCTGCCCAGCGCCAGCGTGACCAGCGGCACTAGACACGCGCCTAGCGTGCGGCTCACGCGACATGAATGGGGGGCGGGGCAGGGCGAGGTGGGGCGGGGCGGGGCGGGGCGGGGTGGGATCAATGCGGAACGCACCTGCGCCAGCGCGCCGCGGAAGGCCCCGAGGGAGGGACGGAAGCGCCATGAATGGCGCAGGGCGCGGCGGGGTGCGGGGAGGCGCGCACACCGTAAGGGGGTGGGTGGCCGCCGTGTGCGTAGACAACAAGCGCCACGCGCCAGCGCCGAGGCTTAGCGGTTGCCTACCCGCACGGCGCTCGGCGCGCGGAGTGGTTGACCGCGCTACCGCGTCCGGAACCAGCAAGCCACTCATCCAATCCCCTGCAGGAAGAATGCCGAAATGCCAACACTTCACACTTCATGATGCGGAGTACTTCTCCACACTTCATGCAGTCTTTACACTGCGAGTGTGGAGTAGCTCACGGATTCCGTATCTCTTGGCAGGATGCAAACGGGGAGAACACATGAAGTGAAAACCCCACGTAAAAATGCTATACTTCCCTTCTACGCTACGGCATCTAGATAGACGCCCGAAAGGCATGCAAAAGGCAATACTTTGCCCTTGTGAGTGCGCGAAATGTGATACTTCACCCCCTCCCGCCGGGCAAGAAAAGGACACCTCTGGCTCCGCCAATGCGAAGTCAAACAATCCGCCGGCCAACGAAAAAGGGCCTGACTCCTGCTGCATCCCATCCCCGCCGGCAACTTCTCTCCTCCGGGAGAGGGAGACTCCTCGCCGCGTTCCGATCACGTCATCGTGACGCCGGGGGCGTTCCCGCGCGCACACCGCTTGCCGCGTGACGCACACGCACGCACAGACACGCCCGAGGCGCACATGTGCGTGTGTCTACACCGGCACACCGGCACGCCGGCACGGGGCAACGCTTCGGGCTGTCCCAATCAACGCGTCGGCGCGGCAAGCACCCGTTCCCTCACTCTGGCCGATTTGACTATCTTGACTACAAGGCGAGTTCAAACCCCATCGGTCGGAAAACGGTTGCCGTGCCTTCTGGGAAAACCGAAAAACGGTCAAATTTCAAACATGGTTGCGAGATCGGAAAGTTGGCCCGCCATGGCTCCTAGATAGCTGCCTCAAGGGCAGGCAAAAGAGACACACTTTGCCCCTGTCAGCGCCAGCAGACAAAAAAGTTCTACTTTGGTCTTTCCCCAGGCCGGCCCTGGACTGGCCATGGCGTGCCGCTGCGATCAAAGAAACCTCCTCAAAGGAGGGGCCGAACAAGGAAAAATTGGTAATGCAGCCGGGTGCGGCTGACGGCCCGCGGCCTGCACAGTGACGCCACAAAGCGGGCAAGCGGGCCGAGCCGAGGGATGACGTCATTTCCAGCCAATCTGCCAGGGGCAGTCTGCATCCGTCCAGCCAATCCCGGCGGCCAGGCCGTTATCGAGGCAGGGCTTTCTCTTCGGCTTCCGGTGACCGGCAGCCAGCCAGCCAGCCCTGCAGCCAGCCAGCCCTGCAGCCGGCCAGCCCTGCAGCCGGCCAGCCCTGCAGCCAGCCAACACTATGTACCGCGCCCCGTGACTCACGTGTGTTATCTCGCTATTTATAAGTAAGCCCCCGCGGCCGGCCGCGCGCACCGCCCCGCACATTGCTTGGCTGGCTGGCGGGGTGATAGCCGGTGATAGCCGACATGGCGTTGGCCGGGTCACGCAGGCGCGCTCGCCTGCAGCAGCGTGTCCAAGGCCGCGGCCTCCTCCACGTCGGCGAGGAAGCGGACGGCCACGTGTCGGCCGCCCCCGAGGCCGCCCCACGCCTCTCGTGCCGCGGTCCAGCGCAGCCACTCCGACCAGCGCTTTCGTCGCCTGCCCCTCCCAAGCCCCTCCAACACCGTCAAACCCAGTGTAGAACTGAAAACCAGTGTAGAACTGCACAGAGACGGCTGGAGGCTGCAGTCTCCACACTTCAAGTGTGGAGCAGCTCACAGAGCCCTATCCCTGGGCACGGTGCAGACGTGGAGTGATCCACACGAGTGTGAAGACTGCAAACTCTGCACTTAGCCACACCTCCGCGCATTACAAACTTTCACAGTGCACTGGCTTGGCGCGGGGATGATGTGTAAGGGCCATCGTAAAAGCATGACGAGTTCTCTCCTTCACTCACGGGACGACCTGTGAGACACATAGCGACCACGTGCTGTGCAGTGTGAAATCGGCCTGCAAGGGGCGGATCCGGGCGAAGATTGCCTACCAACAGGGGCAAAGTGCGACTCGCCGTGCAAGCTCGCTCCCACACTGCACACGGACCGCATCGGGGCCGAGTCTGAGACCCTGCGGGAGGGGCAAGTTCGATTTCAAGTTAGGGTTTCGAACTCACAGTCCTCGTTGGCTCCACATCCAACTTGGATGAGCTGGTGGGGTAGTCCGAGGGCCGGCCCGGTGGAAAAATCCGTCGCTAAAGAAAGTTCACCAGTTCGGCGCACATAGTCAAGATGCCCGCGCAGCTGCAGGCTGCTTCCGGGCAGAGCTTTCGTCGTTCCGTCTCTCTCGCACTTGCGGGGCGTCCCGTAAGGCGCGAGAGAGACAGGGCGAAGCCGCACCGCGCGGAAACAGAAGTCCGCGGCGGCGGCGCGGTGGTCTTGTCGAGGTGGAGGAGCGCGCGCGGTATGCGTGCCCCCAACAAGAAAGAACTCTCCAACTTGGCGGCCGCGGCGGCAGAGTCGTGTTCGTCGCTTTTCCTTCCTTACCCCGCTCGCGGGGCGTTCCGCACAGGTGCGAGGGAGACAGCGCGACGACAACGACACTCGGAATCAGCCCGCGGGACGCAGCGGAGCCCGTGACGCAAGTTCGGAGAGCTCGAGAGGCGACCCGACCGGAGGGCCGAAGTTGTCTTTGCTGCTGTCCGGGGCGGCGGGGGCACCTCGTCTCGCTGCGGCCGCCTCCGGGGCTGGCCCGTCCCCCTATGAGCGCAAGAGAGGCAGAACGACTCTCGAAATCAGTCTGCTGGCCGCCTGACCTTCGAGCGCGCCTCCCAGAACACCCTGTACCTCCATAATCTACCTGCCGACCTGGCGGTCCTGGTCCTGGCGGGGAGTCCATCGGCCTTATCGCGAAGGGCTGTGCAGCAGGCCAAGCAGGCCGGGGCCGGGCCGCGCCAGACAATGCAGAGGGGATAGGTCACTCCAGGGCCGGCCCGGCCCCGCCCCGCCCCGCCCCCGAGCCCTTTCTCGGAAGGCGGATTACATGGCCGCCTGCCTGCAGCAGGCTGCTCTACTCCGAACGAGCGGCTCCGTGGTCCGCGCTGTGCTGCGCTGGTCCGGGAACCCAAAACAAGCGAAGCTGATTACTCGGGACGAGACGAGAGCAGCGTCGTCGCGATATCCATTAGCGCCACGCCCCGCCATCCTCTTCCAAAATCACCGCCACAGACAACAATCCGAGAACGGCGAAGGGCGCCGCGCGCCGCCGCCAACTGGCGCACTGTGGATTTGCCAGAAGACCGGCGCGGCCGGCCAAACCTCTAGACGCGTTTCGAGCTCCAGCGTCGCTAAACAGGACTCGAACCGAACGTGTGACCCCACCAATAAATTCGTCGTTCGGAGAGCAATCCGCCTCCACCCGTGTTCAGGCTGTGTTGAGACCGTTCAGGGCGCTCTGGCACCCTCCCTGGCCCCTCGGGCTGCTTCTGGATCCGCCGCTGGGCGCCAGGACGGATGGCAGAGTGAAGCCTGACACCCGCCAGCAAAATACACGACCCTCGCGCCCACTGCGCCCTCTGCTTTCCAGGCTGTCTCTCTCGCTCCCAAGCGGGACGCCCCATGAGTGCGAGAGAGACGGAGCGATGAGAGCGGTGCCCAAATCGGCCTGCGCGGCGCAGAGCAGCGCGCGCGCCACTCCGCCAGCTGGACTTCCCCCAACGCATGCAATTCCCATTTCCAGGCAACTTGCTCGACTTGGTCTCTCTAAGGCAAACGTTTCCACGCAAAACAACGAATGCGTGACCGGCCGGCCGGCCCCCGCCGTGCAAGGCACCGATTCTGAGTTATCTCTCTGCCCTCTCTGGCGAGTGATTCAGAAGCGGAGTTTCGTCGCTCTGTCTCCATCGCACTCGTAGGGCTTTCCGGAGGGGTGCGAGAGAGACAGAGCGACAAACCAGATCATCCGAATCGCTCGGCCGTCGACGAGACGGAGAGAGACAGCGAGGCAGAAGCCGCGATCAGAGCGGCCAGGACAGACAGACGGCGACGAGGTCTGGTCTAGTCTGGTCGACCCTACGACTCACCTTAGCATAGTCCGTTCAGCGAGAAAATCCTTGCCGCGTCTGCAGCACTGTAGAGTCGCGCTGCCGGCGACGAGCTGCTACGAATCCGAATCCGCACTCTCACTCAAACACACGCACACAAAGGCACGACAGGTGCGCACTGTCACTCTGGCTGGCGTCACGCAAGCCGCTCCGGCGCTCCTCCAAGCAGGTCTCAGCGCAGGTCCTCGGGGAGACGACGCGACGCACAACGGCGCGGCTCGACGGGTTGTGTATCCAAAGTCGTCGGGGTCGCGGGCAAACGGACCACAGCCGCCTCGCTCACTCACGCCACACAAACACACGCACTGACAAACACACTGACACGACGGGTGGCACTCCGGTCTCCTCTCCGGCAGATCCGCAGCGAGAGGCACGTCCAGACACGTCTTACAACGGCGGCACTCAGCACTGGACTGGCTGGCTGCTGGCTGGCTGCTCTGCTGCTGCTGGGCCGTGTTGGCTGCCTGCTGGCTGGCGGCGTCGGCTGGCGGCGCGGCGACCGGGCGGCGCTGTGCAGAGAGCGGGAGTGGGGGAAGCGTGTGGCGGCGGTGGTGGCGGCAGCATCAGCACCTTTCCCCCTTTCCCCCGCCCCCTCTCGCCCGCCCCCCGCCCCGCAGCCCCGCGCCACTGTCTGTAGTAGAATGCATAGTGGTCGCCAGCCGCCCCTTCTTCGCCGGGCCGCCGCCCGTGTGCCCCGCCGTGCCGCGCCGTGCCGTACTACACCAGTATAGCCAGGCTCAAAAATCGCGGCCCAGACGGCGGCGACACGGTAGGCCCGCCGCGCCGGCGTGAATGGCTGCGCCTGGCTGCGCGCACCGCGACACGGGGGCACGCCTCGCGAAGCTAGCCTGCCCCAGCCTGCCCCAGCCCAGCCTGACCCCGTCGAGCGAACCCGCTCCGTCGCTCTCGCACTCCTACGGCACACTCCGTGAGGGCGAGAAAGACGGCTTGTCGTCGCGGACGGCGCGAACCTGCGGTCTGATATCGTGAGCCGTTTTCGTCGCTCTGTCTCTCTCGCACTGACGGGGCGTTCTGTGTCGGTGCGAGAAAGACGAGGCAGGGCGACGAAAAGGACTCTCGGAGTCAGTCTTCTGAGCACACTTCACGCACGCCGAACACAGACGGAGCGACGTGTGTATGTACAGTATTAGGACAGTTCGCAATTAGCCAGCTGCGGATTCATTCAGTATTCAGTGGGTACACTGCGAAACCAAATTTGCGGTCTCCACACTTCAAGTGTGGAGACAGAGCCCCTATGTACTATCTCTGGGCATGACGCAAACGCGGAGAATTTTACACGTGAAGTGTATGGCGACTGGAAACTCTGCACTTCGAAGAGGATAGTAATGAATTGTACTAATTTCCCCCTTTTCCAACCATGCCCGAAAACCCCGGGAAAATTTTAGGGGGAAAAACCCGGCAAGGGGAGGGTGGGGGGAGTGGTGGTGGGTGGGGGAAGAGGGAGGGGAGGGGGAAAGAGGAAAAGAGGAGGAACAGGACCCCGGGATTACAATTAAATAAAGGCCGACCCCTTTTGGGATTTAAGGGGCCCCGCATTTTTAAATAGCCGGGGCCGGGGTTTTAAAAGCCATGGTTGGGGGCGGAAATTTTCTAACCCCGCGTTCCCCCCCCCTTTTTTCCCTTTCCCCCTTTAGGTGAAAGGGGGGGTTTTTTTAAGGAGAGAAAAAAGGAAAAAAGAAAGGGGGAAGGGGGGAGGGGGGAACGACGGGGCGGAGCCCCCTTTTTCAAAAAGGCCCTTCATTCCGGGAAAAAGCCACCGTTTTGAAAAGGTTCGGGGGGCGAAGGGAAATACCCCAGGGCCCCCCCCCCTTTTTCCCCCTCCCACTCGCGGGGTGTTTGCCGGAAAAAAAGGCAAAACAGTGGCGAGGGAGCGGGGGGAGCCAGCGGGGGCGGCCCGGCTTTATTGGAAAAAGGGCCTTTTGAAAAAAAAACACGGGGGTTTTTTCCGATTCCGGGGGGGCCTCAGGCGGAGGGGGGGGCGCGAGGCGGGGCGGGGCCTTTAAAAGGTTTCCCCGAACGACGGGGCCTTGGGGGAGCGGGGGGCGCGGGCGGGGGGGTGAGGGGGCCCACACGGGGGCGGGGGGCGGGCCTCCCCGAAGGGCGGGGCCCCCCCCCGTCTCTCTCGCACTCACGGGGCGGCCCGTACAGGTGCGCCGAAAAGGCGCGACGGCCCGGCAGCCCAACGCGGCAGCACGCCGCCAGCACGTGCACACTGGTAGTGCACACACGGCAGCAGCCTCCGTGACACACTCCGTGACCATGGCCGCGTGACTGCGGCACTGCACCGCGCCGGCGGCAGGAAAAATGTGACCCGAGTCACGAAACGGTGCAAACAGGGCAACGTGCCTGTTTGCAAAATATAGGGGGACCGACCGCGGGCACGTTGTGCAAGTCATTCGCGGCGTGTCCTCCCCTTTCCGGCGGGAGGAAACTGACTGGTCCCCGTGGCCCCGAAGTGCAGCCCCCCCCCCCCCCCCCCCCCCGAGTGCGCCAGCACTCCACTGGTACACCAAAGGTACACCTGCCCCGTGCGGATCGACCCCGTGCTGCACTCGCGAGTAGTACTGCCCTGCCCTGCCTCTGACGCACGCCTGGACTCTTTTCTTTCTCCGGTACGCACGTGGTATACTTTTCTTCCCCAAATTACCACTTATACAGCTTCGTGCCCTAAAAAATCAAACTGTAACGGTTTTCTGATAACATCCCTCTGAGCCCGCCCCCGCACACACCAACACTCTGTCGTCCTGAGCCCAGCCCCCGCCCGCCGCCCTGCCGCACCACACGAGACCCGCCTCCGCCGAACACTTGATACGCTTTCAAAGTGTCCCGAAAGGATTCGGTCGATTTGGTAAAAGAGATCTCGCCGCTGCCGCTTCCCTGCCGCCAGAGTCGGGTCCGTGGTAAGCCGGGCGGGGGCTCCTTTGACGCCGGACCGGGGGGAAAGGGGGGGGGGCGACATGGGTTCAGAGCGCCACGCCCACGACAAAGCGCCCTCGCCCTGCACTGCACGGCTCAGGCTGTGCTCGGAAAACTGCGCGCATAGCCTGGCGGTGGCATAGCCATGCAGTGTGGAGACCTCGGTGGAGACTGACTGAGGACAGAGAGTCTCTGGTGGAGACTGCAGGCAGACTCCACGCGTGGAGAAGCGTTCGCCGCATACGCTCCCTCGGTTTGACAGTGCCCCGCCACTTGTGTGTGTGTACCATCCTTGTTTTCGCTGCTTCCCCCGAGAAAGCATCGAGTGCCGAGTGCCCTACCCTGTGAGTGCCCGCGACGGTCGGCCACCACCGCTGGCCCAGGGCTGGCCCCAACTCGGTGTGTGTTGACGCCTGCACTGTACAGCCCCTGCCTGTCGCTCTCTGTCGCCATGGCGACGCGGTGCGCGGCGGCAAAGGCGGGCTCGTCGTCGGCGCGGCTGCCCGGCCCAAGCGGCCAAAAGCTCGCGACGCGACGTTTGCTTTCGCTTCGCGCTTCGCGCTGTTGAGTCGGTATCGGCCTTTTGTTTGCCACACTCGAGTTCTGAAAATAGAGAAGGCCTAGCAAAGCACAGTGCCCTTCCCCCCGCCCCAACCCGCCACGCCCTGCCCCGCCCCGCCCCGCGGCCGGTGGCTTCGGGCCACTCCGCCCCGCGAACGTTGACGGAGTGGCACGCCATTTACCCACACTCTGTGTGCGAATGTGTGTGAAAGAGAGGAGAGAGAGGGGAAAGAGGGAGAGAGAGAGAGAGACGGGGGGGGGGGGGGGGTGAGCTTCATCGGTAAAACTCCAATGTAACGTTACGCTGATGACCGTAGGGCCTATTGAAGAGATCGGAAGAGCTCGTGAAGCACCCCGTGCATGTGTGCGTGTACATGTGTGTGTGTATGTATGTGTGTGTGTGTGTTTGTGTTTGGTAAGCTCTAAAATAATCCCCAGATTGGCGCGCGCGTTCGCTACGCCCCGCGCGGCACCTGGTGTGCGAGAGAGAGAGAGGGAGAGGGAGAGAGAAGGGAAGAGAGAGGGGGGAGGGGGAGGTTCGTTGTTGAGCGGCGCAGACAGACGGCCAGACGCCAGCTTGGGCCAAAGTTCAGTTCGAAACTATGGCGAGCAGGAGAACAACGAGCTCACCGTGTGTCGCTCTGATCAACAGCCAAACACTGCAGTGCGTTGCAGTGCATTGCAGTGCAGGCATTCGAGTGATAGGCAGCGGCGGATCTGCGCGCTTAGCCCCGCGGCCCCGCTAGCCCCGCTCAGCGCCCCGTCCGTCGAGAGCAGAGGGGTGCATTCCCGCCCGCTGCATGCACTCCGCCCCGCCGCACAGACACCACCGCACACGGGCGCACACGGACGAGAACACCACTCACACACTTTGCGCCAAGCACACTCGTGGAATCACACCGAGGCGGCAAGGCAATGCCTGGCAATGTCTGGCAATGCCGCAGTTCGCTCGCTGCACCACAAGTGCGCGAGAGAGAGAGAGAGAGCGCGCGCACACACACACGCACTCACACACAGACACACTCTCTCTCTCTCACACTCTCTCTCACACACACACACATTCATACACACACACTCACAGACACACCTTTCCTTCGCGTTCCTCCTGAGCGATTCCGAGGGGTCGTTTCGTCGCTGTGTCCCTCTCCCTCCACCACATCTCCACCTCTGAGGTGCGCCCCAGGAGTGCGAGAGAGACAACGCGACGGACAAGATCCATCGGAATCAGGCGGCTGCAGGCCCATGTCCGTCCGTCCGTCCGTCCGCCTCTCAATCCGAGTCAGAGCCACTACACCGCATACCGCAGCACCGCAGCCCCGGGCAGCCTGGGGCAGCCACACTGTGGCCACGGCGTCCCGAGCGGCGTCAGCCTCAGCCAGGCCTCGGCCTGTGTCAGCACGCTCCGAGGAATCCACGACTTGGGCCCCGCGGCGTGCGGCAGCGTGCGGCCCCGGACTCATTCCGAGAGTCGTCTTCGTCGCTCCGTCTCTCTCTCGCTCATCGAGCGTCCCGCACAGGTGCGAGAGAGACGGGGCGGAATCAGTCCGCAGCCCAGAGCGCCCAGAGCGGGCTGAGCACTTTGTCTCTCTCGCACCCTGGCGGCCGGGCGGCAGGGCCCATAGGTGCGAGGGAGACGGAGCGACGAAAGCAGAGCTCGGAATCAGTGTGCAGGCAGTCCAAGGCAGGCACAACCCTTCCCCCACCTCGAGCAGGACCGGCCCGGCCGGCCGGACACAATGGCCGCGCGGTGTATACTACAGTGTTACTACGCCCCCCCCCCCTCTCGGGCCAAGACACCGAGGTCCCCTCCACCGCAAGCCTCATGGCAAGCCCCATGGCAAGCCTGCCGCTCACGCCCGGCCCGTGTCGCCTGCATCACATGTCGCCTTGCTGCCTTGCCGCACGCCCTGGTGGTGCGGATCGCCGCGACTACACCCAGAAAAAAGGTGTCCTGAAT